TTTTTTTTTTTTTTTTGACCTTGTGAGTTTCTGCCAACAGTTTTTGACATATACTTTGAAATGTTTTAATTAGTGATACAGGACCTTATTTATTTTTTAATGCTTTGTCTAAAGGTGCAAGAGAAAATCATCAGGGTGGAGTCTTCAAATGTTTCCAGCTCATTAGCTCAGGGAGATAGGGGACTGGTTTGTGAGCCTTGTAACAGTTTGTTAAGAGGCTCACAGTTCAATTCTCAGTCTGACTGTTAGTCTGTTTGTTTGTTTTGAAAGCAGATGTCTGAAGAAGAAAATTAAGTTTTAAGAAATACAGACAAAGTGTCTCTGGACTGATAGCTCAGGCTCTTAGAGGACTTGAAAATCCTGAGTTTGCTTGTTCGGTTCGTATTAAGGCTAGGTTGATTTTAAAAGCTGCTGTCCAGCGGAGAGAGTGAACGGCTCCGTGAAACACAGTGGAAGAGTGAGGTGAAATAGCTCAGGCTGTTAAAGAACTGCTTAGAGATTCTAAGGTTGATGGTTTGATTCTTATCCAGGGCAGGTGAAATTTAAAGTCCAATGCCCAAATGAAAAGGGTAAATGCTCCCAGAGAAAAGATGATACGTGTAGCAGCAGGATAGCTCAGTGGGTAAGACTACTGGCCTTAGTGTAGGAGACTGGCGTTCAAATCTGGTCAGGTTGATGGTTTGATTCTTATCCAGGGCAGGTGAAATTTAAAGTCCAATGCCCAAATGAAAAGGTTAAATGCGCCCGGAGAAAGGTGATATGTGTAGCAGCAGGATAGCTCAGTGGGTAAGACTACTGGCCTTAGTGTGGGAGACTGGGGTTCAAATCCAATGCTACCATATGCACGTCATCGCACGGCAAGGGGGAGCCAGGACGCCAGGAAAAAGTGGGGATGTCATCATCATCCCCACATTTATTAATATTATTTGGGTAATAGGAAAGGTAGGGTATGCAGGAAGGTGGCACTGGGTGGACTGGGTACTAGGACTGGGTACTAGGAAAGGAAGGTGGAATAGGAAAGGTAGGGCATGCAGGAAGGTGGCTAGGACAGGGTTATATGAGAGGGTAGGTTGGAACAGTAGGTAGCTAGGACTGGGTAAAGGAAAGTTAGGTCTAGTTGGTAGGAAAAATAACATTTCTATTTACAGTGTTTCATTTACCTCTTTAACAGTTAATTTAACTTCTTTCTACATAATTTAACTTTAACAACTTTCTATAAAATTACAAGCAGCAGCTTAGCTCAGTCGGTAAGACTACTGGCCTTGGTGTAGGAGACTGAGGTTCAAATCTGGTCAGGTTGATGGTTTGATTCTTATCCAGGGCAGGTGAAATTTAAAGTCCAATGCCCAAATTAAAAGGTTAAATGCTATCTTCCTGCCTATCCTACCTTTCCTATTCCACCTTCCTTTCCTAGTACCCAGTCCACCCAGTGCCACCTTCCTGCATACCCTACCTTTCCTAGTACCCAGTCCTAGCCAACTTCCCTACTACTTTGTTCCTAGCTACCTTCCCAGTCCCAGCTTCCTTCCTACTATCCAGTCCTAGCCACCTTCCTGCATAGTCATACCGTACTTTTGCTGTTCCCCAGTCCTAACCTTTCTGCATACCCTACCTTTCCTGTTACCCAAATAATGTTAATTAATGTGGGGATGATGATGACATCCCCACTTTTTCCTGGCGTCCTGGCTCCCCCTTGCCGTGCAATGACGTGCATATGGTAGCATTGGATGTGAACCCCAGTCTCCCGCACTAAGGCCAGTAGTCTTACCCACTGAGCTATCCTGCTGCTACACATATCACCTTTCTCTGGGCACATTTAACCTTTTCATTTGGGCATTGGACTTTAAATTTCACCTGCCCTGGATAAGAATCAAACCATCAACCTGACCAGATTTGAACCTCAGTCTCCTACACCAAGGCCAGTAGTCTTACCGACTGAGCTAAGCTGCTGCTTACACACATACCTTTTCTCCAGGCGCATTTAACCTTTTCATTTGGGCGTTGGACTTTAAATTTCACCTGCCCTGGATAAGAGTCAAACCATCAACCTTAGAATCTCCAAGCAGCTCTTTAACAGCCTGAGCTATTCCACCTCACATGTCCTCTGTGTTTCATGGTGCCTTTCACTCTCTCCTCTGGACAGCAGCTTTTAAAATTTACTGAGCCTCGATAAGGACCGAACCACAAATCTCTGGATTTCCAACCAGTCCTCTAACAGCCTGAGTTATCAGTCCAGAGACACTTTGCTAGCGTCCCATGTAACTTTGAACTTTTTCCTTCAGACATCAGCTTTCAAAACAGACTGACTAATCACCTGAGAATCGAACTTCTATCTTCCAACCTTCAAAGCAATTCCCTCTACCAGCCTGAGCTACTGCCTTAGACAGTTTCACCATCTTTCCTCTGAGCATTGGAACACAAAACACACCAGACTGTTGGAAATAAGACTCAACAAGACAGTCTATGATTTGCTGAATATACTGCTTTACTATGGATAGATACTTCTGCCAGACAAAAAGTCCCTCTAAAAGCACTGATTCTGTAAACCATGACTGGTGTCACACATCTCTCCTTGTGGTCATGAGAATTTTGATGATGTGTCTGATCAACAAGGACAAAATACTGACTTTTCAGTGCAGGGTTTGGACTCGGGAACAGGTGGGGAGACATTTGGTCAGATACTGAACTGGCGACTCTAATGTTGGGTGCCCACCTTGAAACTGTGCCAATTGTATAGACCTTGTGTGCTGCTGGGGGGGAAGGTGTGTTTGATGCATCCATATTTGAATGCAGTAACAGAATCTTGATTCATATTTGATCAGCGCTGCCTCTTTCAGTTTGACCACAGTTCACGAGTAGTGATAGACAGCTGTGTTAGACACCACTCATCTATTTTTCTGAGGTTTGCAGATATTAATGGTCCAAGCCAGATTCAGTAAACTGTCTTAACTGCCCAAACTGTTCGTGAAGAGGTGCGCTTTTATGAGAAAATACTATTGAATTTTAACTTGAGGCGTATTGTAGTCTAACTTTATATGACACATTTACTCCTCATCATTTTCATGCAGTCCCTGATTCCACCTGATTAAAAGGAGGTAGCTTTACTCTACATGTTTGTGTTGTGCAGTATACAGACATGTCACAACATTATTTCAAGCGGTTTCATTTTGCTGCAGTTGGAGTTGAGCTGCATGTGAAACAGCTCAGCATCTCCTGTGGCTGATTCACAAACCTGCTTTGTGGTTGACACTCACTCTTTGTCTCTGTGCCTCCTCTTCACAGTTCATCCTGTGCACAATGGCCATCTGAGCTCTGCTGTCTGTCCCACACCACGAGGTCAGTGCACCTATGGAACCAATCAGTGGTGGACTGTGGATCACTGCCTCACAGGAACGCAAAGGGAGGCCAGTATATTAGACTGAGCGGCCATGAGCCACAACAGGGAAGTACCCATGGCTTTTAACGCTTGCTGTAATGCTTTAGTCTTGTATGTCACAAAGGGACGTGCTGAAGATCTATTGGTTGTACACACACACACATATATATATACACACAGTATATTAGAGGGGAATATATTACATCTCAGTGTCTTTAAAGCCCTCGTGTAGATTTCTGACCTCCAAAATAAAAGCTGCAGACACTGCAGCACAGTAGTGCCAGATAACACATCAGAAATATACACAGAGGCTTTAAAGAATTGAAAATATAGAGTCTCAGTGGGACAATACAGAATTACTCAATCAGATACCTTAAACTAGTTTGCATATTATGCTTTGGCTTTCTCATTTGGGAATGAAAGTCCTAAATGAGTGAACTGATACTATGAGGATGTCCTGACCTATGAGACACCTACTGTGCCATTATAACCTGTGAATGTATGGACTAATATATTAAACACATTTATATGTAACTTAGTAACAGCAGCATCATGATTAATGATTTAATGTTAGCAGCATTTACACTGAACTTAATACAGTTAGGTTTTTTTCTCATTATTTGTGGTAATATTTTTATAGGTGCGTATTAGCTTGGTGTTTGAAGGGATATTTCGCCCCAAAATACACATTTTTCCTCTCATATGTAGTGCTGTTTATCAGTGTAGATTTTGTGTGAGTTGCAGAGTGTTGGAGATAACGGCCATGGAGATGTCTGCCTTCTCTTCAATATAATGGAACTAGATGGGACTCAGTTAAATCAACGCAACTCTACTTAAAGCACCACAAGCTGTTTTCTTTCTACTGAACTAGCTAGCTTAACTTAATCTCAGCCACAAGTAGATGCACGCTCCCCTCTGTATGGTGATACAGTTGGTGGGTTTAGTTCAGTACAAAGAAAATAGCTCCTACATGAAACTGCTCACAAGGTCTGTGGATTATCTTGAGTAACCAGGTCATGAATTCTGTAAAGAGACATTAGTGATGAGTTTTTCAAAGCACCACAAGCCGAGTGTCATCCATTATATTGGAGAGAAGGCAGACGTGTACAGCTGATATCTCCAACACTCTGCAACTCTTACTAAAACAATCTAGACTGATAAACAGCACTACAGGTAATAGCAGAAATATCTATTGAGGGGTGAACTGTTCCTTTAGCTTGATAACAAGCCATAGTGACTGTGAGCTGATATAAATCCACACTGATAGCTGTTATTAATGATAGTGAGATATAAAAATATTGTTCTATAGCTACAGTATGTTCATATGCCTGAAGTTTTGCAGCTGTAAACTTGTTTGTTTTGGATGTTTTCGTACAAACACAGCCATGTTTTTGTAAACAATGCAGTGAAATCAACCTCAGCACACACCCACTGTTGTAGTAAAGACCACATTTTGTTACTCACATTAAACACTTTCTGATCATTATGCATTCTGTTTATTAATTTATACAATTGCGCCCTCCCCCCCCCCCAATCTATTTACACAATATATTTCATTTTTTTAAATATAGTTAAGAACAGAAACATTCAAATTAGCTGTTAAGTGTTGCATTGTATAAAATACAGTGGCAAACATTTAAAAAATGCATAAAAACAATTGTGAACAGCACTAGGTTTAAAAAGTGACATTTATATCCAGTACAGCAAGTTTTCTAATCTGTGCAAAAGTTTGCAAATCCCATGAAAGTTCAGTAGACTGTTCAGGCGTTGGACGTGTCGAGTTAGGCTTTAGCAACTTTTGTTCTACATCTGTGCTTGAGAAAGAAAGCTTATCAAATAAAACACCCCGCGCTCTGCTGGATCATCTGTATTGTCCTTTTTCATCTCATCCATCTTAACTAATATTCCCCCGTTATCTCTGACCTCTCAGGTTTCCACTGAGGGAGTCAGGGGACTAGATGAAGCCCAGGCTTTAGATGACAGCAAAGTGTTGGATGTCAACTCACTGTTCAATAAGGGTAAAGTCAAAACTCCGCAGAAATGATATGAAAATCAATGTGCAATATTAAATCATAACAAACTATTTCAACAGCATACAGTAAATGCAGCACCCAGCTTAAAGCCTGTCTCTGAAATCTTACTTGCTACATTGAGAGGCTATGCATTGCATTCATCATCATCATCCTCCTCCCATCAGCAGTCCACAACACTCTGCCTAACATCAGGGGTTTAAAAACAATAAGGTACATAGAAAAATAATGGCAAATTAAATACTTTGTTTTAGAAAAATAGGTCTAACGGTTATTTCTAAATCTCTCTGGGTGAGTTTATGTGCTGTACCTTAAAAAGCAATACATGTCACACACAGCTGATTGAGACCTTTTATAATTTAGTCAAGTGCAGTCTCCATGCAATACATGAGCTTGTGTTGGAATTTATGTAGTTAAAAAACTAAAATGACTAATTCATTTGTCATGCAGATCACCCTAAAATGGCTCGGTACATTTACATCTGACGGTGGAGAAGCAGGTTTCCGCTGCATTGAACTGATGTCGTCTGTCAAAGGCTAGAGCAGGCTTATAAAGCTAAGGCTATTGGAGGCTGGCCTGTGTCCTCGGCCCAAAACATGAAAACTTCTGTCCTCCCCACCCCCCCCCCCCCCCCCCCCCCCCCCCCCCCCCCCCATGGTGCTTTGTCAGCGATTTTTTTATCTAGGAAATTGTACTTTTAAGAGGACGGTGGAAGACCTAAAGCATGCAACTAAAAACTACCACGTAGGATCGTCAGGGTTTTAGAACGTATGGATGTGGCGTCTGTGTGGCAGCGTCACAATTGCAATCAAAGCTACACATACAGTTTTTAGGGGTATTATGTCGAGGCATTTTGAGGATTTTAAAAGAAAACTTCACCCACAAAATTACCATTTGCATATCAATTACTCACCGTGTGTTACCTTGAATTTGTCAAGAAAACTTTGTCTTACTCTCACACATCATGCAGTATAATCTAAGTCTCACGTATCTAGTCGGATGCTCAGTACTTCCCAAACACGTTTTCACTGAAACATTACAATTCAAAACACTTCAGCCTTCGAGTAGTGCGCCCTGAGCATGTGCGTGTGTACAAGCTCCACTTGAGCGGAGTTCAAAGGAATGCACATGCCCAGGAACACCACTTGACCCTGTGTGAGACTTTACTGACCTGTTTTAAATCCGAATGTTTAACTGAGTACTGAGCATACGACGAGATAAATGAGACCTGGACTATACCGTCATTAAACAGAGTCCCCATTTTCTTCAGGTTATAAAAAATGTTTGCCATTGTTGGATTCTCCGTTCAGTAGTAGAGCTGCACACAGCTAAATTTTGCATTATGGATAAGTGCAAAATCCAAATTCCAGGAGCTGTATTTTTTTGATGAGGGTAAATGTGTGACAGATTGCCATTACAAATGGTAGTTGGGGGGGGGGTCCTTCCAAAGAGGCTTGTGTAATTGATAAAAAAAAAAAAAGTCATTTTGCAGGTGAGGTATTCCTTTAGCTCTACAACTGTTCTTTTTCTATTACAGAATGATGAGAAATGTCAAAAAAAGGGACTAAACCTTGGTTCTTTTCAACTTTTTTTTGTAGGTTTTGAAAATCTGATGGATTAAAACACACACCAGTGTAAACTAGTGTCGTCACGATACTGGAATTTCTGCCTTCAATACAATACTTTGAAACTTACTTTGAAGAATTTAAAATTCTAATTAAAAGATAAATACAATAAGCTGATAACATGACAACAACTTTTCCATTCTTGGTTAGTAGGGGAGAACAGCACAGTGACTGTAGTAAATATTAACAATGAGAGAGCAAGAAAGCGCAGCAGAAATTGAGCATTGAATCCATTTCAACTATTCAGAAATGCTATGTATGTTATTTTGGATGACACTAGTGCAAACAACTACTGTATAATTAAATACAAGTACTGGAAACAGTTGTCTGGAAGAAAACTCAAACTGTCACCTTCTGCTGAGAGACTACTGGTCCAGATGGTTAGATGTCCAAGATTCACCATAAATAACTGCAGAAAGAAACAAAGAACAGCTGTAGGAATCATTATAATCCCCAAACTGCCGGGACAGAAATTTCCCTCACAAGTTTTGACTGCAACTGCAAATACCCCACAGCTACGCTTACGTGGTATTGATAGGATGTAGGTTGTTATATGTTAATTATGTTTTCAAATCTACGAAATCCAAAACTTGAAGCATTCATTTTGTTGTCTTTCAAATGTTCTGCGTGTCAAGGTTGAGCTGTTGAATTCACATACAGATCTTAACATAGCAACATAAATGCTGTTAAAGATGCTCTCTTCTTTGTTCAGGTTGTATAAAATGATCTCCAGAGTACATTAAACTCTAGAAATATACCGAGATTCAGTTCGTTCCTGTACTGGTTCATCATTATTGCTCTCAAAGACTGACATAAGTCTTGTTGTGCTATGTAAGGTTCATGCAGCCTCTACACACGTTATTACTATTACAGTGTTCTGTACTTTGAGCTGAATAAGAAGTGATTTTCATCTGTTGTGGCAAAGTTGTGTACAGTAGGTACACTAAATATACAGACGGATCTCCTTGTGAGTTTGAAACTGCGTCGACTGTTAGGAGCTGCTGACAACAGGTGAACTTCAAAGCCGTGGAGTGGAATATAGAAATGCCTCGGAAAGAGTTTCAAGTAGCTTTGTCCCTGTGAAGAGGGAAGAGTCATAGAAAATGAGACTTGATAGCTACAGTAGTCTGTAAGCATGCCAAGGTCACACCTGATTGCCCGGTGAGTTGCAGTGAGTGTGTGAGGAACATGCGACAGAAAGGAAAAGAACCCATGAGAAAGGAAAACATGCATATCTCTTTTAGAAAAAGCACATCAGGTGCCTCATGTTGCTGGCAGTGTTCTATTTGAAGTATGTACAGGGTAGATGACGACTTTACATGTGGTAATAATATAGTGTATAAATACCTCTGTATAAATGGACTTTATACATCTAAATCCGAGAGCTGGAAGGGCAGGGGGCTGGGAGGGTTTCCGAAAAGGAATGGAAGAAAGTCTACAGTTTGTTTGCCTTTGCATATACAGTCTCTTTCTTAGACCCTGAGTCAAGCTTGAGAGGACACCTTCGGTCGACGTTGAAGGGCTCGGGGACGCCTACTTTCCTGGAAGCCCAGGGTCAGAAACTGGTCTGTGGAGTCCCAACATTCCTGAGCTGCTGGGGACATCAGGTAGGGAGGCTTGTCGGCCTGATGAGAACCCCGGGGGCTGTTCTACTGAGTCCATGCTGTTTTGCGTTTGTCTCTGCTCTGTGTCCGTGTCGCTCTCGAGCAGTCCAGCAAAGTTCCCGTCTGGAAGAGTCTCTGTGCGAAGAAGGTCTGGGGAGGTTTCTTTGGACTTGTTCTGGGCCTGCTCTGGGCCAGGACTCTGAAAAAGACAGAGGCGAGGTGGCGTTATGAGCCATTTGGCAGAGAACGTAAAGACAGATACATCAAAGGAAGCAGACTACACAGAGCTACCATACAAATGTCTATTTAAACCAGGAGCAGGCAACCATGCCGCTCTTTAGCCCCTCTCCACCGAAACTTTACATTTTGAGTCCTCAGTAAGATGTAATGCACTCTTCACCAAATAATGTAATGCCATTTTAACAACAGGATGACATAATGAATTAACAATAATCATGAATTGCTTTTTAGAATTTTCATTTATTTGTTGAAACAAGCGTAACTGAACTTAATCCTTAGTGCTGACATCACTCTTTCATATTAAGCACTATTGAGCAGTACACACAACAGAATGGATTTTATGTTTCTGTCCTGTCTTGTTATATTTAACTCATCTCAATTTGGATAAACTTTTTATCTCCCTAAATTCACAAGACATTTTCTGCAGACTACTTTCCTTTAAAGTGATATTGTATACTGCATGTTTTATGTCTAAAGGAATTAATGTTAACATTAGTTTGTTCAGGATTCAAGGCACACTCTTGCAGGACATACTTTTTAATCTTTGGCCTCAGGGAAAGGCATCAAGTATTTTTAAGTCAAAAGGCTCAAAAGACCAAGTGATTTCAAGAGTCCTTATTGTCACAGCCATAGTACATTGGACACAGCCACGGTGCAACATGTCTGCTGCAGACATGTCCTCCAACAGGTAAAAACGACACAGAACATTATTTTTTACTCAGTAATTTTCTGCATTAACTGATTGGTTATTGTTGAGGTGGGTTAAGTGTCTGATGTACCTGTGGCCGAGGCGGTGCAGGAGCGAGGCTGAGCTCTGTCTGAATGGCAGACACCGGCTGGACCCAGATGGCTGGCCTCTGGTACTCGGGGCTGGAGGTGACGGTGCTGTAGGCGGGGGGGCCTGATGCTGTTTGCCTCTGGAGGAGCTGCAGGATGGCCTGGATGTCTGCAGTCATCTGGGACTCCAGTCTGATGGACAGACACAGAGGAAAACACAAAATAAAATAAAATAAAAAAGGAAGCTGTGAAACACATTGGTTACAAGATGTCTGCTGAGTGATCCTGAGGTGAATACTAACATGAACAGGAGATCATTAATGTTGGGAGTCTGGAGAGTTGATTGTCTAGATGCTCAGTGTTCTTAATCAATACTGATTTACAGACTGATGACAAACAGGTGATGAGCTGCTGCACAACAGTTCCCACTACATCAGTCACATATGTAAATGAGCAGGGTGCCATCATCACACAAGAACACATGAATAAGAAGTCTGTTCTTTAACCACTTCCAGTCAGCTAGGAATTTTTCAAGCTAGAGTGAAGATACTGGTCATAGGAAGCTAGATCTCAAGGTCCAGTGTCATGCTAGCTTGTTGGGAAGGGGTTAAATAATGCTCCAAAGTCAGGCTACGGACGGATGGACGGACTGGTAGGGCAATTTTTACAGAGGTCCCTTCAACTCTCACCTCAAGATATGTGAATGACAATGGGTTTTCTGCAGTACAAATGAGACATTTTTAGCTATTGTATTTGAATATTTCTGCCTACTGGGCTCCCTAAACAGGATTGGAATTGCATAAAGTGGATATGACTGGAAAGATGAGTCTCAAATTCTTTTAATTTTTACCTGACTGTATAAAATGACCTACTGCAACCTCTGGGATAGTTACAGGCCCATGAAACTTTACAGCGACAAACCAGAGACCTCGGGCATTCAGATGGTGTCTGGTTTTCGTAAGTATATTAACAAGTAGCAACCTCTGGGGCTGAAAATTGAAGTGCCACACACTGCAGTTCTTTGAATGGCCACTTTGGGCTGACTCCAGAAACCAGTCAATCTCTCATTTTAAAATACCCAAATTTAAAGCAGAAATAAATACGTTTACAGCCTGGTACAAAAAATCTTCTGGTCACCTCAGCGTGCTTCTGGCCTTTGTGGCAACTGTATGGTGGCTGAATGTTTATATAACTGACGCATTTATATTTTATGAAGGATTAAAGTTACACATAATTAAGGGTGGGCTGCTCTGAGTGACAGGCTTTCTGCCAAGAGTGTCATCGGCTTCGCAGTCAGATCCCCTCTCACTTCTCCACAGCGCCAGCCTCTCACCCAAATATAGTCACTTCTAGCACCAAAGAACCAAGACAGCGAAAGTCAAAATCCGTAGATCAGTGGGTGACGTCACCATAGCTAGATCCATTGTTTTTCAGTCTATGATTGACAATTAGGGGGATTTTCAGCAGTTTGCAGAACAGAAGTGCTCGCTGGAAAATGCTGTCCTTACTGAAATCTAATGTCAAAAGTTGATATTAAACCCAGCATGGATTTTTCTGTGGTGTTCCTCAAGGTCTTTGTGTCTTAATTTTGCACTTTGAAGTGATATTTGACTATTTTAACACATGGTATCAACCTCAAAATGTGCTGCAACAACTTATGACATACATAATACACTCTAAACTTTCACAATCTGAACAGGCGCTTTACTAAAGCACAATGTTTGTTACATCTTTATGAGCTGCGTCTCAAATTAATCATCAGGTTCCCAGCTGTCAGATGATGTACACCATTTCAATGTGGCATATGCTGTTCACCTACTATCTCCCCCTAAAGATCCTCTGTCCCCCTTCCAAGAGACAAACATGGGTCTATGGTTGGGAGATGTGGAGTGGAAGGGGTTAAAAGAAGTCATTTGCTTTTGATTGGTCCTTGTAAAAGTTATGATCATTACAATTAAAGGTGTAATGATGCTGATCACTGCTGATGATTAAACCAGTACTATAAAGCCCCACAGCTCTCAGTGCAGTGCTATCAATGTCACATCAGTGCAGTGTATTAACTGCCACTGCTCAGCAGTGCTCATGTTGTAATGTATGTGTGTATACTCCATTTCTTAGTTTGTGCTGTGACCTAATTTCACCGTATGGATCAATAATTTCATCTCATCATCACTGTTGCTTGGCTGTCGGCCTGAAAATAAATATGATGACAGATGTTATCATTTTGCCCCTTTGCTCGAAGGAAAGAAAAAGCAAAAACCCAGATAGTAAATGTATTTAATCTGCTGACACATTGTATGACGTTTTCCCCTCTTATGTACAGTTGTTTAACACACTGCAATCATTATGGGATGGTGGACGTGTGGTCAATACTCATACCAAACACTAGGGGGAAGCTCAACCTTACAACAGGATGGTTTACATGGAGTATTACAGAACAGCTGCCCTCTGCTTCTGAAATGCTTATCCTCCAGGAAGAGCAGCAGTTCTGACGTTAGCCTGAGTCAAGTATTCATATCCTTTACTCAAGTAAAAATACTCAATTACAAGCAAAAGCTCTGCATTCACAATCTCACCTCAGTAAATGTGTTATCAGCAAAATGTTAAATGTGCAACACTCAAGTTAACTACAAGTACTTCATAAGTGTAATTAAGTACAGTACTAGGGCTGCAGCGAATGATTACTGCATTGTTGATTAATCAATTGATTATTGTCTCGAGTAACTGATTAGTTATTTGATCTATAAAATATTAAATAATGATGGAAGAATGTTGTTCAGCGTTTCCAAGATGACAATGAAAATGTTTTGTTTTGTCCACAACCCAAAGACATTCAGTTTACTGTTGTAGGAGGAGAAAACATTTACATAGGATTTAGAGTTTTTGTCTGAAACAATTACTCAAACCAACAAATTCATTTTCAGATTAGTTGGCGATTCATTTAGTTTAATAGTTGATAACTAATTGAAATAGAAATAGTATCCTCTTATCTCACAATAGAATTTCATATGAAATCAGACCAAGAGGTGGACTTATAAATTTAAGACAGGGCTTTGATATCTGCAGGAAAGTTTCTGTGGTGCAGGTACCATAAATTCAAACACCTGCACTGTGTGTCATCACCTAATGCAGCAAGTTACATCACGGCGTGGAGTGTCTGAGATGGTGAATCACCTCTTTTCCCTGCACACTCCCTTTTTTCAGTCCATCAGCAAAAAATGACGGAGACACAGAAAGCGAACAGAGTGAGCAGAGACTTCCCGGCATGGAGGGGAATGCCTCTTGTCGCTCTGCCAGGTGCCTGTTTGCTCTTTAGAGGACAATAAGTGCAAATAAACACTTTGGCTCGGGTCTGTTTGAGTAGACAGTTTGTGGTGCAGTGACCATGTCTGCTGCCTCAGACAAAAACTCTGCCAAACCAGCATAAATGGATGAATGATGGGGACACTCACTGGCCCATGTTTCCACTGGGATCACTGTGCAGAATACTTCATCATTATATCTCAAGTGTATGAGGCTGTGAAGGACCACACTGTTTCCTCCTTTTCCTCCATAACTGCACCAAAACTCTGCAACTTCACCACAACATCCAGCATCCTAACCTCACAGGATGACGTCGACACTCTTTGCAATGTGTCTGCATCTCGTGGCTTTGTGCTATAAATAGACAGCCGCTGACTGTCTGCCTCCCCCTCATCTGTATCGGTGCACCAGCCGAGAATCACACGAGCTGCTCACACAGTCCGCTCTCTGCATTAACACAGCTGCAGTGGGTGACTGGCCTAAAATGTCTCAGTGCAAGTTCTCAGCCAATTAAAGGCAGAATCAAGGGGGGGTCTGTAGTGCAAGCTCTCAAAGAGGACTTCATTGTAGTGAAGCTGAAGAGAAATAAAAAAGACTATAATGGGAATCTGAGCCTGAAGGTGTCTTTCGTTATCTAAAGGTCAAGATCCTCATCACGAAAAGATCACACTCTGTGCTTCAGACTTCAGCTCACAGTCTGAAAATATATATTCATTTTATCCTGATTTATTTTTATTAAAAATGACTAAAAGAGTGTTTTTGTACCCCTGTAACACTGTCAGGCTCATCACGTTCTTCTTCCTTGTTAAAACCTGGCGCCTACATTACCCACAATTCAACTCGGCTGGCAGCAGTTTGGTCAGAGATTTTGGTGTGTTATGGTGCATTTCATTTGCAACAGGAAGTTGTAAGTTCAGGGTCACCAGTTGGAAATTTCAGCTGGAACGCCCCCTGTTGGTGTATTGCTATTTTGACGCAGTAGAAAGTGACCAACAAAAACCTGGTCTAAAGTCAAGATGGCGGAGTATTTTCCTGCCATTCAATGGCTGCATTATTCAGATAGTAAGATCCGCCTAAACAGGGCGGTTCACAGCATGCAAACACTCCGCCTGTTACACACACAGGGATGTGGGATGGGCATTTTAAATAACTTCTATATTTGAGTACATGAAAAAACAAAAAACAAACAAACAAAAAAAAAAGCTATGTAAGAATGGAAATGTAAATTGGCCCAAAACTGAAAACAAGTGCATCTGAAATTCATTTACCAGACATCAATTAGCCTAGCGCTGAAGGGCCGTCTCCGAGCCGCTATCCCCGTACTCAGTTCAACATCTGCCAGATGAGTATGAGCTAACAGCAGCAGCAACAGCTAACATCCAGCACCAAGCTGTTTAACAGTCCCTCTGTCTCGTTAATAACCTGATGGGTAACATTAGCCGTGTGATGCTAACAGTAAGCCCTGTCACTGTGTGTGTGTGCTGACACTCAACTGTTCCCCTGTGCATAGTTAACACTCCCGGATAAACAGAGAGCCCAACAGCGGAGCAAAGAGGTGCTGAGCGAAGCAATACACTGCACACAGCTCTACAATGAAACATCATTTTACCCATTTCAAACACATTATGTTGAGCAAATACTGACGTCTGAACGAGTACGAGGCAGAACTACGAGGCCCATCTCTAGTTGTGGGTGGGTGAAATGAAACACCATTAATGAGGAATATATTAGACATTCTCTCAAATGTGGCATGAGAGCAGAGCTGCTGTCTGATTCCCATTAAGAGGCTCTGTGTTACACACGAGGAGCAGTGTAACTCCATTCATTAATTCCGAAGCTAAAGGTTTAGTTGTGTTTCCTCTGTCAGGTTTATAACTACAGTTTGTAGGTTTGCTGCCATATGATTTTTATCATATCCTTTGAAACAATCACATGATGGGATTTAACATAAAGCCAGAGAAGGATTATATAAATGAGGCCACAGCTCATCAGCTCCTCCATCCTCACAGTTTGAGGGCATATGGGAAAATATATCCTTATACATGTTTCCCCTCGGCCATCAGATGTGTCCCTGGATGTTAATAAGGCAGGGAGCATTTTGGCTTTGGTGATGTAAGCAGTGTGGTGTTTCCTCTCCTCACCTGTTGAGGTGCTGCTGCAGCAGGTCCAGCCGTTGCTCCACCTCTCCGTAGGTGAGGTCTGTGTCGCTGTCATCCTCCCCGGCTGGCGTCTCTTGACACTGGGCTGACTCCTCTGCACCCTCGTTGGGACGCTGACACACCCACTCATCTTGATGGAGCTCTGGAGGGAGGGACACGCGTGTGCAAACACACACACACACACACACACACACACACACACACACAGGGTAAATGATGTGTGTTACTAGAACAGTGCCTCAGGGGAAGCATCTTCCTGTGTTGTGCCTTTTCATCATTTAGCTTTACTAAGCTCTGATCAGCTTACCGCCTCCTGAATCCTAACATCTATCCTACAGAGGAAAACACTCATCTGACCCGGTCGACAATCACACCCTCTGTGGGATTTTTTTGTTCCCCTCCTTTTGGGTTTCCACAAGTGACGGTTGCAGATTAAATTGGCAATTCCTGTATGTTGTTCTCGCCGGGCTGTTTAGAAGAATCAATATCTCTCTGCTCTTGACTCTGGCTGAAATCCTCTTATGGCTGCAACAGCTGAATTATGGGATATTAATATCAAATCAGTTTTCCAATCTCAGTGCAGAATCACGCTGAATTTAACTTGGCAGTTAAAATACAGGATAAATGTTATTGTTGTCCTGCTGTGTGTGCGCAGGAGCTTTGTTCCCGGTGGATGATTTTATGGAGGTTTAAGCCGACGGAGCAGTTGCATCTTCTGACAGGAGGTCACAACAGGTCAGGCTGCAGACACAAACTGGTGTGTTTGCTCGACATGGAGCAGCAGGCAGACGGTGAAAGTGAGGATTTCTCCCAGAGCTTGCCGGGGATCTCCATCCCAGATGCAGCTTTGTGTGGAAGCTGCTCAGTCAAGCCTGCTGCTCTCACTGTCTACAATATACTGAGATCCACAGGAGGATTTCATTACTATTTACTTGTTTGGTTTGGGTAACTGCACAGTGTCACAGCGCAGTGTCAAAGTTTAACAGTAGCTGAATAAACAATTAAAACCATTTATCTCTAAAATAGATTTAAACGTGACCAAAACAGCAGATAGAGTAATGTCAACAACATGATTTTACCTAATGTTTCCTGTAAATCCTTTATTTGGTCATGACCTCCGATCAAAAGGGGTGACCCCGGGCCAGTTTCTGGATATAATCCTCTTAAGTCTATTACTGAGTTGGTTTTAGGTTTCGCCGTAATGACACATAATCCCTGTTTGGATTTTTAATAGGTGTGACATTCCTCCTCTGGGGCTTAGGGATTTTTGGGGTTTTTCTAAATTAATTTCTGAGCCAACTACCGTTCCGAGAGTAAAACTTTAGAGGACGAGCTTGTGGATTTACAGGAAATTTCATGTCCGTTTCAACAAGACAGTGATTTGCTTAATATAGACAGAATAAAAACCTCTGATATTTTTGTTTGTGTAAAATCAGTTTTTTTATGTTTGGGCAAAAATAGAAAAATCTGTTCAGGATAAACATTTATTTGAATGACAGGAATGAAAAAGGCTTTGGAAGCTGCTTATTCTTTCTTGATCCAAAAATAAATCCCATGTTACTGAACAAAAGAATGAGAACAACTGTGAGATTATTTCTGTTGTCACCTTTATACGTCTGATTCTGCATGTTGTCTGCAGCCTGTGCGTCTGTAGCACTGCTCAGCCCGAGTCCCACAGTGTGGTCCCTAACCACAGGGTAGCCCAGCACAGCAGAACACAAGGGCCTCTGCTCCTCTTCCTCCTCCCTGCCTTCTTCCTCTTCCTCATCCTCCTCGTCTTCTCCCTCCTCAGTGGACTCTCTCCTCTCCTCAGCTGCTGAGGAGGCGTAGATCTGCCTCCCTTGCTTGGTGTCGCAGTAGGTGGCCGCTGGTTCCTTGTTGTGGGAGCCTACAGGGAGAAATGGTAATCAGGAAATCTGCCGGGGGAACACTGACTGCTCTGCTAAGACTTCCTCTGGGGATGACGGGTAGTCTCATTAACTTTGACAACAGGTAGCGAGTGTTTTGCTTTGGGGTTAAGCTGAGGACAAACAATGTTATGGGAGAATCTGGCTTCTAAACTACTAAGGATGTTTAACGCCATGCAACTGACAGTCATTCCACATGTGTTTACAAGTCACGTGTGACCAACAGTAAATGAATAATGCTCCCGTTCACTGAGCAGCTCATCAGACCAAATTCTACATCTTCACACCTGAAGGATGGAGGCAGGATACGCCGGCTGCTGGACTGTGAAGCGGACTGTTCAGTACATTCTCTGTCCTCACTTGTGTTATATTGGGAGATGGTGATACTGTATTCAGACGGCCTGTAACCATGGTGACCAATTAGATTTGCCTGAATCAAAGCCAAACTGCTGAGTGCTGCTGTGCGGAGGATCTGTCTCCAAGTCCCAAGTCTCTTAGCTGTTAGAAGTCAAATTACAACTGTTTCCACGGTACAGGTTGCTCTCAAACACTCTGTATACTGTCATCTGAAAGCCGAGGCTGCTGTGTTTATCTACAGTCTGAAGACATTTTCTAACCAGAATACACAGGTACCCGGGCTTGAAATACCACGTGCATATGCATGGCGGTACTGTGTACGTATTATATGGGCTGTGTATTTTCAGATCTCTACTGACTGTGAGACTCATGCAATTAAAACTTTTCACACAACCTCGTGCTGCACGTCCATTTTACAGACATTCATCGTGCAGAGAAAAATAAATTTATAAGTGAGTTAAGTATATAAAATAAGTAAGTGAAGTTGCAGGGTGAAAAGAGGACACTGACAGACAAGACAGAGCAGCACAGGTCTACAGCAGCACTGTAACATTACTGTCAAGCCAGCTACGGCAGCCGCACCACAGTGAAGTTCATTTAAAGCTGGATATCTGACAGACATTCACTCCGGACCCAGCGGCATCTTCTTACACAGTTTCACCCAAAGTTGGCAGTAGGACAACGGTTAGCTCACCCCTCAGCCCTCGTTTACCTGTTTTTTTATATTTTCATGCTGGTTTGCTAATATAAAATTCATACTAAATTGGTTTCACGTAGCACAGTTATTTTTGTTACTAATGTGTAGTTCATTCATTTTACATTATTTCTTCTTGCTATAAAAGAATGGGAAAATAAGAGGAACCTTTGGGGAAGTTCAGATATCAGATTGATCGAAACATCTTTCAGGCCTGAAGTGAAGCTAAGCCTGTAAACTAGCCTGGTCATCTTAGGTCAGACTTATTTAAATCTTCTTTATGAAAGAGAATTTCCTAAAGGTAAGCCTGATTTACTGAAATAAGCCTGGTTTAACTGGTAATCTGCTAATCATGAAACAGCCCTCTGATGTAACCATCACTTCAGCTATTAAACTGTAGCAGGGTGAACGCCAGCATACCTTGAGGGTTGAAAAACTCCACGGCAGCAATACCATAATAATGCTTAAAATGTAAATAAACTATTTTAATTAAACCCTCTCAACCTAACAGAAGAGTTTAAATCAGCACAAAGAAATAATGTTTAATGTTGGTAAACCAGGAACATCAGTCTGCTTTTATCAGTGTTACTGTGAGTGAATCTGACAGTGTGTATTGTCCACACAGACTTTATGAAAAGCCTCTCCCTCTGTTCATTACATCTCTGCAGCCATTTAAAGGCAGCAGGATGGATATGTTGATAAATCTGCAGCCTCTGACTGGAGAAGTGCCGCACCAGAGCACAGGCCCGTTATGCACAGCTGTCCACGGTGTTTACCTTCATTAAATCAGGTGCAAATGACACCATAACCACACACATCAGACAGATTGCTAGAACTCTGCATTCTGCCTGTTATGCATCCGATTATCATCTATCCTTTGTGTCACAACCTTCAAACTTTTCTAAAACAAATCAACTGTTCATGTGTTACATGTTAAAATGCATTAGGATGATACCAGATATGAAAGCAACATCAAGTAGAGTCTTTATAAACGTATTCTGGTTATTTCTCATGCAGCAAAGTATTTAGACAACACATACAATAAAGATTGATACACTGAAGAAATATTTTACGTCATACGTCGTGTTGGTATGAATGTGTTAAAATACAGTGAAAAGGACCAGAGGGTGGAGTCTTTAATTAAAAAAATAAATAAACAATTTTTATGGCGTAAAAGCACAGTAGTGATGTTGTGTCTCAATCTGACCTGTGGAGGATTTCCTTCTGTAGGACACTCGTCTTCGACACTCAGTGTCATCTGTGTTAGAATCAGCTGCTTGTGTGCATGTCGCCTGTAAAGGGATGATGTATGATCAGAGCCATGTAACATAACAACACATACTAACTCATATGTACATGGACATAAAGCTATTTGCTGTGTCTGCATAATGAAGAGGATGCCTTTGCTTTGGAGCCACAGTCTTCTCTGCTGGTCTAAGATCAAACCTTTAAAGTATGACATGAATAGATGCCACACTTTCTCCACTTTTTCTTTCCAGGGCTGCACCATCAAGGATTTTTTCCACTTATCCTATTTATTAATTTGCACACAGAATACACACTAGTCCGTCATTACACTTCCAAATTTTTGTTCCGCCACGAGTCCTCAGTAAATGTATATTGAAACCAAATCTCCAGTAACATGTTGCAAACAGGAAAAGAATCCAGGCACTCCAAACAAAAATGAGAATGAGGAAGGAAAGATTAGATTAAAAAGCCTTTAATATAATGGCTAACTCATTAAAAAGCCAACATGTTTCGACCACTGTTGGTCTTCATCAGGGCTGGAGAAACAGATGCTCCATGGTGTGGTTTCATCTATATAGCAGCAGCAGCCAATTAGAAACTGTCACATGACACAGTTAATGACATGACAGGTGAAGCCAATGAACCATGATAATAAATCACAGAGAATGAGAAAACAAGAAAAACACACAAAACATAACCAAAAGAAACACCAATCAAACTTAATAAAATACCCATGAACCAGTATTCAGTTCCCTCCTTTTTTCCAAGAGCACTTGATACATTTTTGGATCTACACTCTACAACACAGAGCAACCAGTTATCTGTTTTTTTTTTTTATCTCCAGTAACATGTATTGACCAAAGGGAAAAACTGGTCAGGTCTGAGTTCCCAAACAATCCTCCAAACCACTTTGCCTCTCCTCCAGGATGTCATAACTGACTTAAAGAACATAACAAAAGATGAACAGAGCCTGTGGGATAAAACTAGTCCAAAATCAACAGACAGCCTTAACAACAAGGATTACTATATCTCAGATTAAAAATTAAGCAGAGCTCTGTTGTACAATTTCAAATAATCTTTGTAAAGATTAGATAAATGTGTGAATATGGAAATAGAGATCAGCTAAATACTACTGAGATCAATGCAACTTAAATGATAAATCCTTGGTGAATCCAAGTATATTGATGCAAACCAAAAACATACAGAACACTGGCACAACAGATACATTTATTTATTTATTTATTTATTTATTATTATTTAATGTGGGCTACAAAGCCATCGTCAGTGTGATGACTTTGTCACTGAAACAAGTCCGTTATTGTTTGTCCTGCCCACAGTAAATAACAACCACCATGCTCGCATACATTGTTGAAGACGTTTAAGGTGCGCGGGCCGCCATTTTAGACCTTTAGCGCGATGGCAGAGTGGGGGGAACCCGTTAACGTTCGGCTGCTCTGCATCACTTTACGGTCCGTTACACTGTTAGCTAGCTAATAGTCGGTTAGTTAGCTTAATGTTACTCATGCTGGCTCGACAGAAAGTCTCTAATTTCTTATCCTTAGACAAAAACTCGTTGGCTGAATTAACGGCGATTTATGGGCAAATACCAGAAGTAAAAAAAAAAAAACGGACAAAGGCGCAGGAAAAGAGACACCGCCTGAGTTAAGTGCAAACGAATACAACAGCTATTCAGCAACACCGTAAAAGTATGTTGGTGTTAAAGATTTAGAGCGGATATGTTAGCAGAAATTGAATATAGTTATGTTTTCTTTATTGTATAATTACCTGAAACTCACAGTCGTCTCTTTTCGTTACCTTTTAATGAGCTGTTCATATCTACACATGCCACAGGTGCCCAAATCACTCTCGATAGCCATTTCCGTTTTCTCGTCGGCCACCGTAGTTTTCCCACACGCTTGGCATATGGTTTTGGAGGGTTGTCGGAAGAAGTTTTAGCCAAGCAGCAACCTCAAGAACTGAAAGCCAGCATGGAAGTTACAGAAGCTGCAGTTCTTTGAACGGCCACGAGAGGGTGGCCCCAGGAGCCAGGCCCCTAGACCCCATGTTAAAATGCCTTTTACAGAAGAAATGTTTACAGCCTTGGTCTCTGAGTGTCAGGCTGTCTGCTGATAGCTCCTCAGTCAGATCCATCCCTCGCTCCTCCACGGTGCCAGCCTCTTGTCCAAATCTGGACAAACCAAAATGCTGATTTTTACAGTCAGTGGCTTTAGTTGGCTCCCAATCTGCAACTTCACTGCTAGATGCTTCAGATCCTGCACACTAAATGTTTTCTGGATCACTTTTAAAACCTTTATGGTTGCCAGATAATTAAATTTGATCTAGGTTTAGGTAGATTTAAAGTTTAACTATGACTTAATTGGGTTTGAAAATGAATCCTTGTTGGTGCAACCCCAGCCTAAGGAACATGAACTACGGCCTGTCTTGTTGGAGCACCGTGTATCTCCTGTTTTTGGTGTAATCCCACCAGAACCTTCTCTTGTGTCTCCTCTGCTCTGTCTCGCTCTCCTCTTTCCCCGTTCTCTGAATAAATAACAGAAGGCCAACACAAAGTGCACTTCCCGCTCGCTTTAGAAGATAATTAAAACAACTGACTAATGTGGGTTCTTGTTCACATAATGTCACATCTTTCCCCTGCTCAATTCATCATAATTACAGCCTACATCATGTCCACAATGTCCACCCCACCCTTGGCTTGACTAACGCTCTCTATCTCTCACTCTTGTCTTCAAGCCAACGGCAGATTAAAGAAAAATGTCTAAATTAGCCCTCGTGCTTTCATTCCCACAACTTTGGATAAATTGAAGCACTAAAGAGAATTAATAAGAAAGCCATTCATCCAATGGAAATGGACATGGCAGAGATATGGCACATGGAATGGATAGCTTAATTCAAGTTAATAGTCTCTACTAGGAGCTGTCTTACAGTACAGCAGGGACATCAACTTGTTTTGCCCGGGGGCCACTTTTGCTTAATGACAGGAAGCCAGGGGCCAGTTAATAAACAAACAGTATACATAATAAATAAATGAATTGCCGGTTTTCAATTTTCCAATGTTTGCTGTCCTCTGCTTAGCACAGACCTCTGTCAGGGGATCCGCTAGATCCTCCCTGGCAAGTTGTTTTTATAAACAAGCTACATTCATGTGTTTCTTTTAATGCACTCTGGCACCTTATTCACGTTCAAAGTACAAAAAAAAATCCTAGTGTAAATTAATGAATTAGAAAATGGTCTGCAGGCCAAATCTGGCCTGAAGGCTCTTAGTTAGGGGTCACTGCTGTACAGTGACGATTCATTGTTCCATAAAAGCCTCCAGACCATTTCACTACTTCGACAGCTTTAATCAGAGACAAGAACAGGTGGTGGCACCTCAATGCTAATTACACTGATTACCTTCTCATCACGGAGGTCAAAGGTCAGCTCCAGGTTTGTGAGGAAGTGGTCGGCAAACTCTGGATACATGTCCAGCACCTCCAGGATCTCCTCCCTCTGAATGGTGTGGAGGTCACAGTAGCTCAGCGCCCGCACGTCTGCACAAGATTTCCCTGGCTTGGTGAAGAGATGGATCATCTCGCCAAAAATGTCATTCTTACCTTCGGGGGTGAGGAGAGGGGGGAAGAAGCAGGCAATCAAATATAAGTAAGTGACTCCTATTAGCTAATCAAGGACATAAGGTTTTCCCCTCATCTATTCTTGGCTTCTTATGGAACAACATCCACAGTTGCTGGGAGTATGTACTGTAGTTAGATACTATGTAGAACAGTATGTGATGACCTATAAAGAGACGGGCCACCTGGCAGAGAAGTGTGACAATGTTAAAGAGGCTAAAGGGCATCACAGTCATTTAAAAAAGGATTTACACAATGCCGTTCTGTCCGCATGGAAGTCACACAGGCCTAACATTCCTGTCTCTGTTTAGTGTGTAATGACCTACATGGGATGGCCACAGGGTTAACCATGCTCGCTTTGGTCAAGTCTCTGTGTGAAGGGATGATGGTGCTCAATATTACATAAATAAATGATTAAGAAAGAAATAACTGTTTCAAAAAATGAATAAAAATATATAAATGAAATAAAAAAGTGAAGTAAGAGATGTTATTTCATCATTCTTACATTCATAATTACAGTTTTATAAGACTTCATTTTTATTTTAAAATGACCTTTTTCAAAAGGTTTTATTTCATGTCACTTTTTATTTCATTGACAAAATCTCATAATGTCTCTTTTCATTACAGTGGTGATGTCACGGCCCTCTGACTTTTCAGTCAATCACATACTCCCTGACTCTTATGGTGTTATCATACTGAATGTGAAGCAATCATTGTATGCAATTGACGCTGTATTGCAAAAGCCTATAAGCATTGAGATGTGATTGAGATTCTTCTGACGTTACTGAGATTCAGAAATGGAGGACAACCTTATTGTCGCCGTCTGCGGGCACCCAGAGATCTACAACTAAGCATCAGTACTGTACATAGACAGAACAAAACAGAAGAGGGCTCAGAGATCAGTGAGCGAGTTCTTAAAATATGTATTTGTGACTTGTGTAAGCTATTTTGTTAAGTGGCTTCTTTGCAAAACACTTTAGGTAATTTGTTTTTTTTTACACATATTTGGCAGTTTCCAAATACTCTAAAAGACACTCCAGCGGCCGTATTCACACGAGTAAAATGGAGCGAAAATTTGCTTCGCATTTTGTATGAACACACCAACACTCCAGCAAGCATCTGCTACCAGATTTAACCCATTAGCCGTCATGAAAATTTATATTATGTGCTAAAAGTGTTATTATGAAAAGAAGGAATATGAAATAAAAACAGACTTCTGAAAAGAGAGCATTTATAAACGAAAATATCAATGACGAAATTTAAATTAAAACCAATAAATCTTTATGATGACAGCTCATTTCAATAGAATGAGTTGAGTTTTAATAATTTCTTACATCATTTTAAAAATAATTGGTTCATTAATAATTTTTTTTATTATTTACAGTATCTCAATGTATTTTAGATGTATTTGACATGAACTACTTTGGGGTTCAATAAAAGAGCTCCATGCACAGGAGTAAAATCTCATCAGATCTTATAAATTATAAAATCTTCAAACACTGCTGTGTATTTAGTTCGAAGGTGTTTGCAGACTCTCACATTTATCTTGTTCACAGCATTGAGCCGACTGATAATTTCTTATTTCCATCTACTTAACACCGTGATCAGAACATTAGCATTTTCACGTGTAGTGTAATTTAGTGTAGTATGCGACCATGTGACAACGGTGTGCATGCACGATGCTGTGAAAATGAAGTAATCAGCAGTTCTCTTTCTGTAGCAGAGAAAATGTGCTGAGTGGTGTGGAACCTACAACTTTTACATCTGTGCCTCTCGCTCATCATGACCCTATTGTGTCGCTGTTTTTCGCCAGACCTTATTGGCTGCATGAAAACAGTCATTACAAGAAAAAACTCATACATAAAAGGCTTAGTAGGATACACCTGCTGGCTGCTGGGATGAGAGGAGAGGAGGGGGGATTAGATTTGATGTGATTACATTTGGATGCTGTCGATAATGCCACGCGGCTCAGTGGCTCCTGTCATCAAGAACTGCATCACACCACTCTGACAACCAACTTCCTTTCTCCGTCTGTCACTTCTCTCCTGAATTTCTCAAAGTACCCTATTTCTTTTACTCTCCTCTTCCTCTCCCATCGCTTGTCTTTCCTTTCTCCCTAGCCCACTCGTTCTGCTCTCCACCCCTCCCTGCTTCTATTGTCATCCATCTTTATTTGAAAGCAATCATGCTCTCTTTTTTTTTCATCACACAGATCCGCCGTTACCTTCGTCCTACCATGTGTCCTCCCCCACTCTTTTCTGTCCCTTCCCTTCATCTGAAGCACGACTGTGAGGCAGCGACAATCACAATGTTCTTTGAAGTAAGTTATTACAACATGCCCAGTAGGGATCACAGCTGCCAACCCAGCCATATCACAGCACCACGGCGCCATCTTCATTTAGTTGGCCCACCCATGTCTACACTAATGGAGGTTAGTTGGGGCAAAGCTAACCAGGCTGGAATGACAAGACTATCAGAGGTAGTCTTCTGTGGTTGTGTTTGAAGTGTTGTTGAGCTCCATGCTGGCTCAACAACAGAATAAACTGGGCCAATTAGACATATTTCTCTGTACAGGAACGCTGAGTGAATGCCATCAAGTTCCTATGTTACCAGTGTTCACTGGCATTCCTTCCATCATCAGACCTGATTATCCTACAGCCAGACAAACTACTGGAGGCCTTTTCAAATATCTGTGTGCAGCTGAAGGTATGTAGAGTGCTTACAGTAGCTCAATCCATGGATGTATGTGAGAGCTAATGTCGGGGCCAAAGGGAGGGCACCCAAACAAACCTGAGGCATCCAGAAATACTACGTAGTAAAGATCTTTTTCATGCATGAATGTGACTGTTTCAGTGAAATCCACAGTTTTAAATACAGTTAATCCCCACAAAAGCTTGCAAAATCCTGGAAGGACTGATATTTACCATACAGACATGAGACATTTTTCCCAAAATGTCATACCATTCCTTTAAATATAATAAAATTCTTTCCATGTAATTCAGCCTTATTCATCATCGTAAAGTTTGTTCATTGCATCCATCTGGCTTATTTTGCTGAAACAAAGAGATCATTTAAAACTTCTGATCACACACACAAATCCATAACCAATTACTCAATCACAGACAGATGTTAGTACACCTACCGAGGATTGCCACAACAACGTCATCTTTGAGGATTTCTATGGAGCCACGGGAGACAAAGTAGAGTGCGGTGAGCACATCTCCAGAGTGGACTAGGGTGTCTCCAGGGGGAGCATGGGTGGTCTTGAACCTCATGGCCAGGGCCCGGAGGCAGCCCTTGGTGGCTCCACGAAACGCCTTACAGCCCTGGAGGAGGTTCTTGTTGAGGTGGAGGCAGATATCCGCCTGCAGGCACTCTGGGAAACCCTTCAGGACCTGTGTGTGAAACACAGGTCAGAGCAGACATGATTGTGGTCAGATGTCGTGTGGAAGTTGTTTCATTCAGGGCTTTGGTGTATGATTTATAGTGTGTGGTAAATTTTGGTTGGGAGTGAAGTTGCAGGTCAAATTTTTCCAGAGACATTTTGATACAATTGCCACTTGTGTTCTTTCCTTCTTCTCAAAACCTATTACACCCTGCGGTAAAAATAGCCTGTGATGTCTTTCAGTACGGAGCTATGATCAACTGTTTTACTGAGCCTTTCAGCAGCTTTAGCAGCAGATGAGAGACAAGACAGAACATTTAGAAAGTGAGAAGCTGCGGATAAAAGACAGCACAAAGTGAAAAGACATGTTCAAAATTTATTGTGTCTTGTTTGTGATACTTTGGCACAGTTTAAAGCTGTTTGCTTTAAGAGTTTCACTGCCTCTATGTACTGAGAAAACCCAATCGCCTGAATAATGCTGTCACTGTTTATTTCTGCAAAGCAGGGATATGTTACAATTGTCAAAATTTGTGGTTATGTGGCAGAAACGTTGAAACAATGTTGTCGTTAACACATGGTTTGGTTTAGGCACCAAAACCACTTGATCATGTTTGGGCTTAAAAAACAGTTTTGGCAGCACAACCACAGCTGGAGAAGCTGTTGAAGTCTCGGACTGCTTTTCGTGGCACTATCTCTGCGGAAAACACATCGTTGTTTTGGCCCAAAACTGTTTTTCATGGCACTAGCAAGTCAGGAAACACAGAGATGTCTCAGGCATTATACTGTCAGGAAAAGTATGGAGCTTTATCCCTATCTTTATTCAAGAGAGTGGTCTATCAGTTTGAGAGCATTATTTATTGATTTCACGCTCAAAAACCCTGCCCTCGCACTCAAATAGCCTCTGCTTGCACTTGGAAATACTCTGTTTCTGCTCAAACTGTGTGCTTGCACTCAGATACCATGTTGCTCACACTCAGATACCATGTTGCTCGCTCTCAGATACCATGTTGCTCGCACAGATTTCCTGCTCGAGCTTCGGCTTTTCTCCTCGCGCTCAAACTGTTTCTGTGCGCTCGCGGAATTTCTGCTCTCAGATTTCTGCCCTGCGCTTGGATTTTTTTATGTAACAACCCTGTCAAAATCCCCCAACCAATAGAATGCCAGATTTACTGTTGACCAATGAAATGACTGAAATGACCTGCCTCCTTGTGGGCGCGCTTGCTTTGGTATTAGAGCATCCCATCCGGGCGGGTACTCTTTAACCAGGTTCATCCACTCCCACCCTCCAGGGCTTTATTAATTGTTCTTTCCTTGCTTTCTTTACCACTTTTGGAATAAAGGAACTGTTAATTTCCACACGTGCACCATATGTATCTATATCTATATCTATATCTATATATATATATATATATATAGAATATGTATTATACAACAGTTAGTTCCGACTGAGTAATTTGATTGGCCGAGAGGCATTCCGTGAGTGCTGATATAGAGTATAACATCATTGGGACACTGGACATATCACTCCGCTCACAGGCGTTATAAATATAAATACAACCGTTAATTAACCAACTGTCACACTCGCTACATTGACGCAAACTGACACTATAGTGTTCCAGGTTCCAAGGGATAGTGAGCCAGTGACTGTTGGAAAAATAACTCCCGACAGGGGAAGAGGGTGGGAGTGGATGAACCTGGGTAAAGAGTACCCGCCCGGACGGGACGCTCTAATACCAAAGCAAGCGCGCCCACAAGGAGGCAGGGATCATTTCATTGGTCAACAGTAAATCTGGCATTCTATAGGTTGGGGGATTTTGACAGGGTTGTTACACAAAAAAATCCAAGCGCAGGGCAGAAATCTGAGAGCAGAAATTCCGCGAGCGCACAGAAACAGTTTGAGCGTGAGGAGAAAAGCCGAAGCTCGAGCAGGAAATCTGTGCAAGCAACATTGTATCTGAGTGCAACCAACATGGTATCTGAGTGCAAGCACACAGTTTGAGCAGAAACAGATTAGATCCAAGCGCAAGCAGAGGCTATTTGAACGCGAGGGCAGGGTTTTTGAACGTGAAATCAATAAATAATGCTCTCAAACTGATAGACCACTCTCTTGAATAAAGATAGGGATAAAGCTCCATAGAAAAGCAGCAATGAATCAGTAAAGAAAACAATTTTTTGTGGCTCCGTGGAAAAACAGCAACAGCGACAGCTCAGTAAAAAACTCCCACATTCGATGACTGAAACGCCACTGGAAACACAGCAATGACTCACTAACAAACAACTGGTTTTGTTGTTTGTTGGTGTCAAACAGTGGTCTGCAGCTTGGCAGATGTCTCGCCTAGGTGACACGCCATCCACCATCCCCTCCCCCTCCCAAATATAACGTATCCATGGTTTGCAGAAATGTACGATGCCAACATTTTCTTCTGGAGACTGGGCTGACTGAAATGATGAAACTATGAACCATAAACTGGTACTTGCAAGACTAATAACAACAGTATTAGATCTTGTCTGTCTATTAAAACAGTCCATAATACTCTGACCCATGTTCTGCTATGTAGTAAAAAAACAACACAAAAACAGAAAAAGTATTACAAATGTTAAAACTTGACCCAACCGTGATGGGTCAAGCATTCCTACCCATCCGAGTTAGCCTTGGAGACTGCTGAATATACACTGAAAAATATTTGGAAAGGTCATTTAACATTACATTTAACATTTTCTATGAATGTAACATTTTTCGTGAGGACGTCCTGATGCATAAAGACTTATAATACACTTACCCTTTAAAGACAAAGAAACAGTGACCACTGACAACACAGCTAATGATCCTGGGACAATGGGAACTGACTGTAATGGACCACATTTTCAGGTTCAAACTTTAACACCATCACAGACACTGGGAGGTGAGGAGAGGGGCTTTGAGGACACATAAGGGACAGTTGAAACGAGAAAACACATTTCTTATCTTTGTCATTTACACATAAAATACAATGTGCTAATGACACGAGCACAGCAAAAGAAATGCAGCCTGAACTGGTTTTCTGGCTCTGACAGGCTTTTTGTTGCTCGGAACAAAAACTGATCAGTAGATTTGGAAAGGAAAGACTGAACAACATTTGGCAAGCGCAGGTGCCACCGCCGAGCGTGCCGCCAAGGCTCCCACAGTGGGAGGGAAACCTGGCAGCGCCCGGCGAGGCTGTGCCCACTCTCACAGGCGTGATTCACTCTGTCTCTGGTACCAGATGAATATCATGGGGTTGTGTTTGAATACACAGATTTCATGCAAAAGGGACCTCGAGGCAGGCCACGTGCAAGTCTACCAGTCATAGACAATTAATGTGGCCTGCGAGAAACTTTCAATGTGTCCTCTGCAGTAACTGGCATGCAAAAGTAGATACTGTAAATCCTTCTATGATGTGGCATCACAGTAACTGTTTACAGTATGTGTTCATGTATGTAACGGATAAGACACTGGGGAAACAACAACATGCATGTTTGGGACACTATTAAACAATTGCACATTAAAACTTTAATGCTATCTGTGATTTTTCTGTACAACAAGCTAAAGGCTAACAACTCACTCCACTACTAGTATCAGACACAGCTAGGTGAAGCTCTACCACTGAGGAACACTCATATCAGCATTAGTTGTGTTAACACATGTACCTCCTGCTCTTACCAGAGTGGTGGGGTCATTCCATTTGACATGAGGCAGACATGGAAAAGACAAACTTATATAAGTACCATGAACAGTATCATGATGAGAGAAGCCAGAGTTGCTGTGCGCAGAAGCAGTAACTGTGGCTTCCACTTCACTTGTGGCTATGACTGCACATTGCACAGTATAATCATGATGAAAACATTATACTATGCCAGTGACATAGCAAGGTCGCTTCACGATGTGGTAAGAGCATTTCTCGACAGGATAGTTGAAACTCACACAAATGATATTGGGGAAAGAGAAGAAGCAGCAGCACACTTAAAGGGACAGTTCACCCCAAAATCAAAAATACAAATTTTTTCTCTTACCTGTAGTGCTATTCATCAGTCTAGATTGTTTTGGTGTGAGTTGCTGAGTGCTGGAGATATTGGCCTTCTCTTCAATAAATTGGAACTCGATGGCACTCAGCCTGTGGTGCTCAAAGCGCCAAAAAAGTATATTTGAAAAACTCAACAGCAATGTCTCTTTCCATGACCCAGTTAATCCAGATCCAGACATCTGTACAGCCGATATCTCCAACACTCGGCAACTCACACCAAAACAATCTAGATTGATAAATAGCACTACAGGTGAGAGGAGAAATATGTGTTTTTGATACTGGGGTGAAGTGTCCCTTTAACTTTATATTTTGCTACGATTGCTGGGAGAAAAACACAAGCTAGAGGCGAGAAGCCTCACACTGTTAAACACACTCCTCTCGTACCATATTCATATCGATGCCGTTGGTGTACGTCCAGGCGTGTTGGAAGTACTCCTCCAGCCTCTGCCTCAGTGGGTTTGGGATCTGGTGGAAGCGAATGAATTCTTTGACCCGTAGCATCTGGAGGTGATACCTGGCTGTACCTGAATACAACCTCTGGATGATGGCGGACACGTTCCCAAAGATGCTGGCGTACATTAGAGCTGGGAGAGAAGCCATACAGGTGAACGTTGAGCCATGGTGGCTGAGGCTGCTCATACACAGTACCTACTTCTCCTATTTACGCAAAACTACTGTTGCTGCTCCTGTGTGTCAGGAAAGACCCACCTGATGTAATGTAAAAGCCTTCATGCTGAATTAAATGACAACTGTGATAAATTAAGGGGTAATAATAGTACATCTAAAATACAGTGGATCTTACACTTAAAATACCCATGTTAAATTTATGAGATCCTTTTGATATTTACTGGCTTTTATCTGAAAAATGTCCTGTAAAATTCTGATCATAGAGTTTTAATCACTACATGAATTACTGTGTGACGCTATCTCCCTAATGCAACCCTGATTACAGAGGGTTCCAGTAATAACAGGATTAAAATGCTATATGTGCTGTGACTCAGCTGTCACTCACATCCAATGAGCATGACGCAGATGGAAAAGATCTTCTCAGAGTTGGTGTTGGGGGAGACATTCCCAAAGCCCACACTGGTCAGACTGCTGAAGGTGAAGTAGAGTGCTGTCACGTATTTATCTTTGATGGAGGGGCCCGAGCTGGGGTCACTGTAGTTATATTTTTTTCCTACAATGAACGACAATAATACAGCACATACAAAAATTGACCAAATCTGGCAGGAAAAGTGGCACTAAGTTTTCCTTCTGTTACCACTTTGTTTTAATGTAGAACAAAAACAAGGACGTTCACCTATCGACACTCCCAGGTTGTCCAGCCAGCCGATCTTATGCTCCAGGTAAGGCTTCTCCACGTTGCCAATGGCGTACCAGATACAGGCCAACCAATGAGCGATGAGGGCAAAGATGCACATAAGCAGCATGAGGACGGCAGCACCATACTCTGAATACCGGTCCAGCTTACGGGCAACTCGTACCAGCCGTAGAAGACGGGCTGTCTTCAGTAAACCGATCAGAGTGGTGGTCTATGGTGAAAAACAAACAGAGATATACAGGGTTTAGTTAGTCATGGGTTAAAGTGTGACGAGTAACCAGGCCTACCCAGTATAGATGGCCAATCACAAAGCATTAGGCTGGGATCCCTGAGCAAATCAAAAATGATGACAACATGTAGAGATGAGCTGGTATGATTTGTTGTATTAAACTTTTGCCAAATCCTGCCAGACATACGGCAAACATATCTTTGTTCTCAAGAAAAGTACAATTGATTGTTGTTCTTCTGGCTAAAATACACCATTCAGTTTGTTCAATGTTGACGTGATAGTGGCTTCAACACAAAGTTCCACATCAGCCGCAGCCACCTTGCCTCTATGGCACGCCACTTAACAGCCTTTGTCTCAAACCTGCCCCATATTAGACAGAGCCATTGAGATTGGCCCGGGACGTCTCAGGCTGCTGGAAATCTGTCCAAAGTGGAGGAGGCTCAGCACATCTGCCAGAGCAAACAAAACATAAACTTGGAGATTCTTCTTGACCTTGTGGACATTATCTGCTCCCTGCTTATGCCCATACTATTTGTATTGTGGGCTATTGTCAGGACAGTGTCCAGAATTGGTCCATACAGTAGCTCTTCTGTACATTATATCATTGTTTTATTCTATAATGTCAGAAAGGAAGTGGTTATGTTGTTCTCTCCCCTGGATAAAACTGTAAACTGTGAAGCACCTACTCAAATGATGCTAGAACCTCTTTGCCTTTTAACTAACAGCTCAAATTTATTTAAAAAAAAAAAAAAAAAAGTACTCAATCAGCAGTTATATCTGGGATTGGGTACAGTTCACATTTGGACTGATACTCTGGTATCAGTACCTAGAATTCTGTACTGGTATCCAATGCTTCCTTTTTTCGATTCTTTACTCTGTCTGTAATAACAAAAATGTAATTTCAGTTGCAAAAACTATTTCTGAATGTCGAGCTGCTGGGAAAAACTAAAGGGAGCAACTGTGGGATTACAAACCACCTAGGTCGCAAAATGTAGATAAATATATTTACTCAGTGCCTTTTTTTGGGCATCAACACTGTGTTTATGTGCGTACTGCCAAAAAAAGGTAAACGTATAATAAATTAATGCTACAGGTCATGGTTACTAGATACAGAGATACAGCTGAGACACCAGCCTGAACAGAGCGAGTGCAGACAACTGCATAGGTTAGAATGAGAGCGTATCTGTAGTGAAAAATGTATGAGTGAAAAATGCTGACGTGTGTGGTAGACATGGGGAAGGTTTCCACCTGGCACCACTGAACCACGTTCCTGCTGAGACCTGTTTTTTTTCCTGTCCCAAATTGTCTTGAGTGGCTCCCCTGACCACGCTGGAAAGTGGTGCACCATCTCATCCACTTGTGCTTTCAGGAACTGAAATTTGGCACCAATTGATTTAACATGAATCGGTACTCAGTAGTGCCAACATAATTCGGCCAGTACTCTTAAAAGTACCAAGTTTGGGACCCAACCCTGGATATATTCAGTCAACGATTGAAAATGTGACCTTTTACTGTCCCAATAAGGTACAATGTAAATTTCCAAATATGACCAGTATGTCAAGTATGTCAGTAGACACTGATAACAGCGTTCCCTGCAATCAAAGTGAACAAGTTGTTTGTCTTCTTTCAGGGTCAAGGGTCAGGGTCAGGGTCACGAGGACGATCGGCTCAGTAGAGATTCAAAAACATATGTAGCTTAGGAATGCTTAATCTTATTCACACACACTACACATGCGAGACACACAGGCTAGACAGTGGATCACTCCTGGATCATTCCTGATTCCTGCTGCAGACAAATCTTTCAAGGTCTCAGCGTCCCCGAGTGTCAACACAACTTCACTGATGGAGACAGGGCTGCCTATGGCTCTGCAAATCATACAGTCAGTATGCAAGTGGCTTTGGTGGAACAGACTGGTATGCAAATACACGTATGTGAGAGGGGGGAGTTTGGTGATTCATTCATTTGGCTGATGATAAAGCACTTTTGAATAACTGCATATGACAATGGCAAAATTAGCTCTAAAAAACATAAATATCAGCTGCTTGGAACCTTTGACAAAGCCTCAAAGCCAGTCAGGGGGAAGAAAACAGCATCTAAGCAGCCCCACAGAATACACACACACACACACACACACACACACACACATACATTACAATGTACACACACGGCCTTCTGTTCTGTTTAATTTAAAGCACTTTAATCCTCCCGTCTCAATTTTCTAGCCTGACTAAATTAAGACAGTCTATGGGAGGGGAGTTGTGGAGAGCGGGGCAACATACAGCCATAACAAGAGTCCGGATCTATTAGTGTCATGCAATCTGTAAACACAAGAAGTAAGAATGCTAATAGGTACTACCACTCCCTATCACGCCTGACAATTATCCTAATATCCTTGGGGAAATCATTACCCACAGCCTTCTGCAGAAGTTGTGCTACTTCTCATCTACGTGTCCTCATTTCGGCCTCATGAACAGGTGAGTCAATATAACGCGTCTTATTCAAAGTATTAGAAGCAGGAAAGGGGCTGGTGGAGTTTTTCTGTAAAGAAGATGATTCATGAGGTGGAGTGCGTCTCCGTCATGGTGAGGAAGAGCACAGTAGCTGCTTCTGATGGGTCCATTAATGAGCCTCCGTCCTCCCAATCTCACCCCTAAATCACCGCCATCATTCACTGCTGTGCATCCGGCCAGCGCGCCCTTTCACTGACAACTGAGCGAACAGTGAATGAATCATATGTAGGAACAGATGAGCCCTAAATTATCCATCGTTTGTGAGCATGCAGTGCCTTAGGTGTAGTGCTGCTGACTCTATCTGAGTGACCTGCACAGATGACACAGCGCACGCTGTATGATGTGGCCCACACAGTGTAATGTTGATTAAAATCTGGGCTTACAGTAAGTCGGAGGCGTTTGGGGCTGAGGAGCCAGGCTAAAGCTCCCATTAGCAACCAGCTGTATAAAACATATCCGCTGAATATCCCTCTGGCCATCTGCCACTGTGGCTTTCCAGGCTCGCCTGGCCACTTTAAAACACCAAGAGTCAACTGAAGTTAGGCTGTAACCTTCTGACTCTGTGTATGTGGGCACAACAAGCTGTCAAATATTACAGGTGTTCTCTTATAAAACTGTGTATAAAGTTGACATTGGATTGACACTAATAAAGCTTAGTCTCTGGGCACATTTGGAACTCCTGCCACCAGTTTTTTGACTCATGGGAACATTTCTCAGTGTTATATTTGATTTTACTTTGTACTAATGATATAGGATTTTCCTAAAAAGCAATGTAGAGTTTAATACAGAACTAATCCTTCTTAATCATCACTTATGTATGTAGGGGTGTATCGATCTGCAGAGACTCAGTTGTAGGACTGTAAGCAGCACACATCTAAGAGGATGCAAAAAAACAACAACTTGCAGACACAGCACTGAAAAATGCAAATATAGCCAGGCGAAACTCCAAACGGAGGGAATCTGGGGCTAGCTTATACTTTCACTTTGGCTGGCAATACTGTTTACAAACAGTAATAAAAAAATCCTGCATAGTAAACCTCATCAACAACAATGTGGGCAGCAGAAGCTGTAAACACAATATTGACATATTACTATTTTTTGAGCTGATATAGCAAACAGTTGCCCACTTACACACCCAAGAGATACCGCGATGTTAGCATTTATTTGGGGTCATGTTTGCGCACATCTGATGAATATAAGTGCAATATCCACTTAACTTTCAGCTCTGTTTTGGTCTCCACCACCTACTGAGAAGAATATCTGGCTCTTTAAAGGGAGTCTATAGGTATCAGACACTTAAATTGAATGATTTTTAAGATATTTTTAAGATCATTTTAAACTGATTTTTGGACTAATCAAATATCTCTCATTCAAGCAGTGCAGGTAAATATAAATTATAATATATTTAGTCTTGTGCAGAGGCGGGTTTTATAGGCTATAGGAATATATTTATATACTACATTTTTTGTGCAAATATAAAGCAAAAAGACAGTATTAGGTGCAATGGTAGGTTTAAAGATTTCTAACATCAGAAATTAGGGATGTCCCGATCCGATATTCGGATCTGTATCGGCCGCCGATATTAGCAAAAAACGTGCATCGGATCGGACTGCATGGAAAAAGAAGAACTCCGATCCAGTTTTTCACGGAATCCGATCCAGGTTTTCCGGCCAGCCCAGCGCTCCGCGATTCAAGCAGTCCATTCCAGTGATCCGCTCCAGCTCTTACTATCAATCCACCAGGCCAGCATGCAGACGGCAGACACACGGAGGGTAGGAAGAGTAACGGTCAACTTAGTTAACTGACTATTTGTTTTCTGCTCTGGTTTTTTGAGAGTGATATTTTTATTTGGTTTACACTCTTACTGTTTAAGTAAAGAGCACTGATGGCATTGTTTTGGGCACAATTAGTGAAACTGGAGCCATGGGTGGACTATTGCTTGTTTAAACAGTTGTACAATATTGTGTGTGGTTTTTTGTCCCCTCTGTTGGTCCCAGGAAACAGCGGCACCAAGCTGGCACTGACACTACTAAAATAACTGAAAAGGAAAGGCTGCATTGTTTGTTAAATGTCAACAATGTCTTGTGGTGTTAATCTATTTTTTTATTGATTAGGGGGCCAAAGCACAAGTGTGTGGAGTCTTGCTGCTATTTTAATTTCAATATTAGACATTTTAAAGATTTCTTGTGTTGATTTATTTTCTATTTATTAAGGGGCCAAAGCAGCCAAAGGAAACCAGCTATATTTTTTATTTAATGTTAATGTTCAAGTTTAAAGTTTGTTTATTTAACGCTGTTAACAATAAACAAGTCAGTTAATCATACCAACTGTTGTGGATCATTCTAACTAACCCGATTAAGTAGTTCTTCTTGTTAGAGTAATATCGCTTGATCAAACCTTTTCTAACATGACTGACAACAAAATAAGTGAATATGTATAATACGTGCTTGGATCAGATCGGTATCGGTATCGGCCAAAACTCAAGGCTGTATTATCGGTATCGGATCGGAAGTGGAAAAAGCTGGATTGGGACATCCCTATCAGAAATGTCAACTTTAACACACAATACAATACACATTTTGACAAAAAGCAATTGAAAGATGGATACATGAAATTAGATAATATTTGTGATTATTATTAAGACTATTTGTTGAGTTTTAAGGCCCTACATATTTATAGAATTGAATTAAAGACACTGCAAGTCGTTTTAAGGACCTGCAGTCACCCTTCCTTAAGCTGTGAAATGCTCCACTATGTTCACCAGCTGGTTGCTAACTTTGTCTGTCTGCTGTTTGGTGCTGGGTAAATAGGGTACATTAAATTTTTGGAGCTTTCTCCCTGAAACAGCGACCTGCTGCAGCAGAACACAACACTGATGAGAACAGCAAGACTGAACCACAGCCAAGAAACCAAAACAATATGCTGGGAGATGCTGTAGGGGAACAGCAGAGCTGCTGATGATTCTCACCTTTCACACACACACGTGGTCATGTAATCCATTGTTAATATGAAAATATTGATTACTGCAGCTTTAACAATGTTCCTTACAGCCCGTATGATGTCAAAATGTCAAAAATGGTCATATTCCCTCTGTGCACTGGAGCTGTACAGGTCACAGAACAAGTCAGCAATATTGCTTTGCTTATTCATCTACTCTAATAATAAAACAAACAATAATACTGTCTGAGTAAAAAGATTTTTTAACATAAGTCTGTGTCTATTCTGACTGTTTGCACAATTCCAGCAGGGCAAAAGTGAGATTGAGGGGGCTGCTTGTTACAATGAACCTGCCTCCTCTTTCTTCTTTGTTTAGCTCAGCCGCTGCTGCAGGTTTTGCAGCATGATAGAGTTGGAGTGAATTTCTGTCCAGTCTGTTTCAACCAAAGGCGAAAAATAATGCACATGTTACAATGTGACAAAACAAAGACAGAGTCTAAATGCGAGGGGAGGGTGGGGTTGAATTCAATAAAAGCTATTTCAATTTGCATTAAAATATATATGAAAAATCTGCTATAAAAAGGGGACGTGGTTCACTTTGAGCTGAAAAGCTGAATTTAATATTTGTGAGCATAAATAGCTCTCGTCCCAGGATAAGCTCCAATCAATAATAATTATTGACATGAGCAATTTTCTGGAACTGCTTCATTGACAACAAATAAAGCGTGACTGTGGACTAATGTCTGTTAATTTATTACTGAGAACTGAAAGAGATTTCAAAGTAAAATCACACATGCCCTGAGACATTCTGGATAAAGAGTGTCTTTGCTTAGTTTAGTCGTTAATGTGCATCAACTCTACCCTGAAAATAATATTTGCATTCTGGTTTAGAGCACATTTTCACTCTGAGCCGACGTAATTTGCCATTACCTCAAATTTGGAAACTATAAACATGTGAACACGGACATAATAGGCAAACAATCTCATCTTATCACAACAGGACATTGATACGAAAATGATGGAGGAGCTCAAATGACTCCTGCAGGTAAATTCAGCACCGCACCATTTCTTTTCATTTGCCTTCCTGCAGAGCAGAAATCCAGCACTGACAAGAAGCTCTCATGGGAGATTTCAACCTGCCATGTTTCTAATGAAATCAGCAAAAAAAAAAAGAAAAAAAAAAGAATCATACCGTATTGTCGGTTTCCAGGCAACAAAGGTGCACGAGATTATGTCTAAAAATAGTATCTGTCTCTGCACAAAGAGCTAAAATAACACACCTTAAAGGCAGGAACTAAAAGTGTACATGGATGTGATATTTTCAGTTTGTTCTGGTGATTGGAGGAGCTAAAAATACAACATTTTGTCGCCACTCATCCCGTCACTGTGTGCTTTTGACACGAGCTGTAACGGGAACACACATTCTGTCACTGCACCAGTCATCTAGCTCTATGACGAGGACATACATCGTGCTGTGGCGTCGCTCGGCTGTCTGCTCTTTTTTCTTCACCTGCCACTCACTGATGGCCTCAAACCATGGACCCCCTCACAGGAACACACACCTAATGGTAAAAAATGACTCTGCAAACCAATGAACTGACAATGAGGCCTTGCCCTCAACACACACATCAATCTGGGATGTTTTGAGTGTGTGTTTTGGGGGAGGGGGTGTCACATCACACATCTTAGCATCTGGCACTGTAACACAATTCAGTAGCCTGTGTTCTCCTCTGCATGCTTTAGCTCCTCCATAATTTGAAAACTGAAACTAGGTGTCAGACTGACATCGAATTGCATTTCACTTAACTTGTTAATATTCAAAAGTACAGTAGGATCTAAATATAAAGGTAAGCACTGCAGTGTAGGCTCATAATGACTGTTACTGCACTCTCTAAACTGCTCTCTCTGAGCATTAGATAACTTGCAGAGCCATCTCCCTCAGACACACATCACGAGCAAAATAGTTTCTCACAGGCAGAATGGTTAGGGAGGCTGAGACCTTTTTAACTGATTTGGATTGCCCGGGGCCGTCCAGTCTGGCGCTGATGAAAAGAGAGCAGAGGGAAGCAGATGTGACAGCCCAGCATCAGATTGCTTTAGTCGTATAAACAGCTCAAAAACATGACTGCTGGAGCTCTGGCTTCACATCATGACACAGGAGTAACCAAGGAGGGACTCGGCTTTGCAAGGTGAAAAAGTTTGTGGTCTCAAATAGTAGTAGTAGTTATAGTCGTAGTTCTTAAAATGCCATTTTGAGGGACTTCTTTTAGCTCCTATTTCAGAGTAGGCTCAAGAAGAATCATGAGTGGCTTAAGTATATGGTGACAGGTCGAATACATGAAGCGATGCAGCACTGGCAACCACCACTCTTACAAACCAGTTTAGGCTCATTAATACTCCCTTGACATACAAAAATAGATACATCCGTTTCAAACTTTATAAACGCCCCTGCCCTCATACTTTCATGCGTCCTTTATGATGGCATAGATACAGCCAACACATTGCAGAGTGAAAAGTTCTCTTTCTCTAACGCTAAGAATATATAAGCCCTTAGCCGTGTAAACATGAGACACATAAAACACAAACAGCTCACCTGACAGGATGTGTCATAAGTATGCACTGACAATGTTTGTTTCATTACTCTCACTGCCAGAGGGGGCGAACAAAGGTGCTTTTAGCAGGCAACTATCGCCGTCTCAGAAGCATTATAAATCCTACTTTCATTTAACTTGTGGCACTTCAGTGGTATCGAACTGCAGATGGTTACTGTATGGATTGTTGTGATGAATAAAATTGCGTACTGTACTGCAGAGAAAACACATTGACCACAAAATATTCAGCATGTCCAATAACAATAAGCTTCCTCTGAGTCTACACGACTATCACTCACGACCCAGGCTGCCCGTACAGCATGACTAAGTAACTGATTTACCCCCTCTCACCTCATCTGATCCTGAGCCAAAGATGAGCAGGTCGAACGGGATGGCAGCTACCATGTCTATGAGGAACCAGCCTTTAAAGTAGTGGATGGCAATCTTGGCCGGGTGGCTGACCACTTCCTCGTTGGTGTTGACATACGTGGTCCTAAAGTTTATAAGGATGTCCACGATGAACATAATGTCCACTATCAGATCCACCACGTTGAGGGGTGAGCAGGAGTAGCCGCACTCCCGCCTCCTCTGCTCCTCGATGTCATTGAGGAGGAAGGCAGCAGAGTAGGGTGTGAAAATGGCGGTGTAGATGACCAGCAGCAGGATGAGCCAGTCCCACACTGCTTTGAAGGGACTGTAGTGAAGGATGGTCCACTTGTCCATGCGTGGTGTTTGGAGCTTATACTCAGGCAGCACGTCTGCACCCAGAGAAAGAACCTGAGGAGGGGGACAGAGAATTTATCACCTTACTCCACTGAAGTTTTATCAAAGTGAAGGATTCATTTTTCTGGTGAGAAAAAAAAGCCTGATACAATGGTGCTGCAGATTTTTCTCTTCAGAGCCGAGTGTCTTGCTTTAAAGGAGCAATTCACCCATTTGTACATGAAGATCAGTGTTTACTTATCACGAGGACCTCAAGGGTGTAGGTTTCATTTCAATTGGGTGGAGGGAACATATGAGGTTGGGGTTTAGGGGTCCTCCACCAGAAAATATTTGGTTGTCAAACACTTTCTTTACGATCTTTTATGCACCAATTTCTGCCTTTTCTGCATTGATTTAAGGTTTAAATTTCATCAAAGGCCCTCCGCTATTTGATGTTGTGTTGAGGGGGGTGTGTCCCCTGTGCTTTTAAGTCATCCCTCTTCTTCTTTCAGCAGAAACTCAAGGTTTTGGCTTCTGAAGAGGGGTATGACTAAAATGTCTGAGAACCACTGTTTTTACTGCACAATGATGGTCTTGTAAATAAAATAAATATCCTCAAATTTCCCCCTGTACAGTATTTCTGCATACATTTCCCATGTAGACGAGGTTAGAATGATGAGTACCAGAAGAATCTTAAACATGCCTTATGGTTCAAGAAAATATGTTAAATTCAGTAACATGTAAATACAGTTTAACATAAGCCAACAAGCATTAGCATTTCCGTGCTACTACATTGATGTGCGTGCCGGGATGTGAAATTGCATTATGACATACGACTGAAGATTAGGTCAAGGAAAGGTCATGTTTATTGATATGTGAGTAATCTGGCTGTGGGAGTTGAACTTCAGTGCCACGACTGTACATACTGTACAATCCTAATCCACTTCAACATCAGCTCCCGTCGACAAGGAAACCTCGCATGAGCTGATTACTTGAGGCACAAACTCCCCGCCCTCCCAAATAAATCATGCATGTGCTAAGTGAAGGATGAACAAAAAGGCTACTAGTCTTCAATTAAGCATATTTTTATTTCACATATTCCATACAGGAGCAGGCTGCCATGGTTTAATAACCTTCAGAAAATCCTATGATTACAGCTGCCGTTGTGGGGATAACATTTAACGTGTTTACTTGTGTGACAAAAATATCTGGGAAGTTGTTCCTGACTTGGCATTTGAACAGAGAACTCTCTTTGAGGAGAGAAAAAAATCAGCATGAAGAAAACAACTCTACAAAACAAGTGCATGCATAAAGCCCTAAAAGTGTTTTGCATGGAGGACGGAGCTATAATCCATTCCAGCGAGCCAGGATGTCACTATCATTATCTCTGTTATTGCAGTTACCATATATACCTGAATAGCTTTTAACATCAATATTACAGCACCGTCATGGACCATTTCGGATAAGAGTCTCAATGACTTGGAAGTAATTATAGGCGCGGGCAGAGGATACATCTATTCATCTAAGTGTCTGACACTTCAATGGCCAGGAATTTTCAGGGCATGGCTCGTTCACTGCTGATTATTGTAGCTCTAAGGAGGAATGAGAAGAGAGGGAGGCAGATAGAGTACAGGAGCGAGAAGGGCAGAGAGATAATTACTGTGTACCGGTAAGAGAGAGAGAATGAAACTGAAAAGATTCTGTACCCATCACATGTCGCTTTATCTTTGCCCTGGTCGCCTTCATAACCCCTGTGATTGAGAGGAGAGGACTGAGGGACAGAAAGATGATGTATAGCACGAAAACGCCCAAGTGTTAATAACTGAATTGGTTATTAGAAACTCCTGCCCTCTGTGCAGTGGGGAGGGTCAAACGCTTTTACCCTCTGATATGGGATAACCTTTACAATCGATCAGAAACCAAAGGACAAACAAAAGGCAACGTGTTCTATTATTCATCAGGCTGCTGCTTCATTAAAAGCAGGTGTTCCCACTGCTTGTTTCATTACGGTCACGACACAATGTGTAATTGCTGTTGACTTTCAAAAAAATGTGCTTAGATTTCTGTATCCTTAAATTGATTTCTGTTAGACATGGCAGAGAAAGAGGTACGAAGAAACAGAACAGCTTGCACATATATGTTTAATGGACTGAAAAAACACACCTTGTATCAACCAACATGTCTCATGCAGGCAGCGATCCAGCAACAGATCCTCATATTTTTGTTCATATCCATGATTTGTTCTTACGTCACCTATGACTTCTGGGATTTGCCACTGTTTTCTTATTTTTGCCCCTCACTTATATTATCACATGTTTTAGAGTAATTATAATGATTAGAACGTTGAATTTGCGGGCTAAAGAAATACTTCCATAGGTCTATTGATCCCAATCGACCCTTTGCTTAGTCCCATCCTCGGAAGCAGACTGGCCAATCATAACGTAGCATCAGGCTGGCTCAGACCAGGGTCCGACAACAACGCAGCTGTGTTCCATTAACTCTAATGCAATCGTTTCAGACTTCCTTCATTTTCAGGGCTGGTTTTGTGGATTTGGAGCTAAATGTTGTGCCTGGGGCACGTCATGTATTAATGATACTCATTACCTAGAGAGGTTGGAAAAAGATATACGTTTCTTCCCTATTCCAAAACTAAAATCAAACCCTGAAAAATGTAGGGTTAGCTAGCTAGCTACTGAAGATATAGCCTACTGAATGTATACACATGCTGCTTTTTATTTTTAATGGTTATAACAGTGGAAAAAAGACTGACCCTGCTGTACAGGAACCAGTGAAGGGAAGCAGGGAAACTTTGCTGATATTCAACCAGCTGTGTGTCATTGCAGTGTGCGCAGATGAACGGTGTTTGACTTCCCCTGGAGATCCCTGCCTGTCTGGCAGCAGAGGTCGAAGCCAAACACCATTCATCTGCACACACTGCAATGCCACACTGCTGGTTCAATATCAGCAAAGTTTCCCTTTATATTCATTGTTGTGATGTGGTGGTTCACTTTTACACTGTGATCTGTAGCCTATAGTTTGGCTTTAGCTTCTAACTATCTTTGTCTTTTTAACCTGTTGTTGCTGCTGAGTCAGTTTGACATCCTGGATATATCCTTCAAACACAGACTGTAGACCCCTCTGTCTGCTTCTCTCTGGAATCACTGTTTCATTTTTCCAAAAATACAATAATATTTCATCAGAGTGCAGTTAGTTACAGTGTGGGCTCCATGCTTACTCCGACAGCTGTTGGACCATCACAAAGGCTTAACAGAAGGTCAATGCTGACTGAGTACATTTACACAAACACTGTACACGGACAAATTTGAAGTACTTTTACTTCAGTATTTTAATCTTATGCCACCTTCTACTTCTCAACGTCACTTAAAAGGGAATTAGTGTACTTTTTACTCCCCAAAAATTATTTAATAACTTCAGTTACTTCACAAATTATGATCTTTATACACAAACCATATGAAAATATACAAGTGTAGCTGAAAGTAGTTGACTGATAAAAAAAAATTAATTGGTGACTCTTTTGATAATTTCATGCAAAAAGATTTCATGGTCTTAGCTCCTAACTTATGAGGAATTGCTGCATTTCCTTTTAATTATTTCTGATGTATTAAATTGACGAACATTTTTCTGCACTGCGGTCTTTCACTTTTAATACTTAAGTACAAGGGTTGATCAGTACAGTCAGATTAAACGAGCATCCAATATGGATAATGTACTTAATACAGGAACGAGTATCATCCAGGCAAAATGAGTCAACATTTGCACTTGTGATGAGGGAAAATCTTCATTTGGGAAGCTGTGTTTTAATCTCTTAATCTTATGATGAAAATGATCTGAAGCTCAAACCTGAGATTGTTCTGCTAATTTTTTTTCAATGATAAATATACCAACTTCTTACCATTCATACACCAACGGCTTACTTATGCTAGTAGTTTACTTATGATCAAGTGGGATTCATCATTCTGTGCACTGAGTTAAGAGCATATTTGGATAGTTAAGAATGTTTGGTGCATCTGACTTTGACCTCTCTTATTTTTTCTCTTAACAGTTAATTAGGAGAAAACACAAAATGTAAGAGGATGTTGCTGCATGTGGCCCAAAGTGTTGAAGTCCTCGCACAAACACTGCTCTGCTGTCAAGCAGTTTATGATCATTAGTGATGATACAAACAAGATGGTAACTCTGCACTGCACCAGCAGCGCCTGCCACCATGGATACATTACCCCTCGGCCTGGTGGGAAGCCTGGGAGGAGTTGGTTGGTTGGCAGAATGACAGTTCTGGATTAACGTGTTGTAGCCAATCTGTTTCTAAATAAAAGATCCCATCTCAATTATTTAACCTACCTACTGTATGCTATGTGCACTTGGCGCAAATGAACTCTCTTGTGGGATAATGGAGGGCTCGTTGTGTGTTTGGCTTGGCTTCAAACAATATGCAAATGAGCTTTAGCTTTCTCCCCTTCTCCTGTTCTTCTACACTGTCAGGGCTGGGCTATTATTTATAAGAGTGGAGTGTTGTTTCATGTTTCATTTGTCACGTGGCTTCTTTCATGAAAAATGATGCATGTACCACTGGTGTAATTCCACATCCAGCTTCAGATAACCCCAGGATGTTTAAAATGAGACATTAATGGAAAGTCGTGGGCATCTAAGACTCATGTGTGCACAGCTGCATGCACTGAGACGTTCAAAATGTAAGAATCAGCATGTGAGCTGAAACTCTGCTTTCTTTCCGAGCTGACCAGCTAACCCTCCATCTGCCTGTTGTAGCTGTGAGGCACCGAGGCAAGGAGAGAGCGTGTCTGTTCTGACGCCCGGATCGGTGCTTCAAATGAACTCAGAGGAGTCCGGAGTCAGTTTCAAGACATCTGCTGTTGCTTTGTGTTCCTAACAGTCAGGTGTCGAGAGAGCTGTTTGCAGATCTAAACTGTGGAAGATTGGGATATGCCGCCGTCCCCCCATGGCTTTTTACTTTATTTGTTACAATGATTATTTTAATGCTCAACAGCATGCAGTAAGTGAAACATAGAATGACACACCATATGCTCAGTCAGAGAGTGAGCAGGAGGGGAGGGTATAGCTACCAGTGTATCCACTGAAACATGTATCTGACAGCTCATTTCAGAGCAGTACTTGCAAACACAAGGAGGCAGGAGATGACACAGGGGCACAGCAGCGCTAGTAATGTGCTATACACACACACACACACACACACACACACACACACACATACACGCTGATTTTTATGTACACACACCTCCCTCCACTAAAGCAGAAGTTACACCGCAGCTGTTTTTCAGGTCCTCATGTGCCACGTGGTACAAAATTCCATTAAAACCAAATTAACAAGCCCGCCCTCTCTGCTGCGTAATAATAGCGCTGACTTTAACGCTGGATGGAGAGGTCAGTGTGGTGCACTGCGGTCTGCTCTGCCTTTGGCTCCAGTCTTAGCTGAAGTTGCCTTTAGTGTGAACAGGGGTCAACTTCTGCGCCCTTTACCTGTTACACCATTAATGGTAGAATGCAAAACTGAGACCTAATCAGTGGTTTGGGGCGGCCTCGCTCTACTCCTGGGAATACATTAACTTACAGTCCTCGTCTAACCCATGCTGCCTCACAGCTCTGGCAGGGAAGGTGAGAATGACCTCTAACCCTGTGTGTAACTCTAGAAATATGGCCCAAGCTCTGGACACTGTCTGGCAGCGGTAAGAGTATCCCTGATTATCTGCTGCAAGTGATAGACACCTCTGCCGTTTTACATATCAAACCCCTTGAGTTTCAATTACTCATCCTGAGGCAGGCGGGGGGAGGAAGGGGGAGGAAGGGTGGGGTGTGGATACAATCTGCTGACTTCATCGGCTGCTCAATCTATGCAAGTGTGATTTGTGATGATAGTTAATGATTTTATGAAGGACATTACTATTGAATTCCAATGTCTCTCTACTGCAGTCTGCACAACATCAGAGACAGTCAACAAAAGATTGTGGGTATGAATTATTGATAAATGCTAACTATACATGCCTACTACTGTACTTCATTGTTTTCCAAACAAGAATTTACAAACAGAGATTTCTTTTAAAAGAGAGAGAGATTCCACACACATTAAATTTAAAAAGGGAAAACTAAATTTGTAGTGTTTTATGGGAATTTTCACAGAGATTGAACACAATATGCTTGACTAAACTAGATTGGAATATGAGGCGACAGTAATTATTGCTGATATATTGTTATTAGATGTCCGGTTAGGACTTTTTTTTAATGGAACAAGATCACAGATTTATAACAACATTTGTAATGACATTGTTATTTTAGCTGTCCTTGTTTTTTATGTAGGAGTTACTTTTCTATTTTGTTTTAAGTGCAGCAATGTGTGTTTATTTTAATTTATGCAGAATGCACATATTAAATTAGATACAGCCTCATTTACATATTTAAACATACAATTTCGGAAAACTTGTAATACAAACAAAAATGTGCTCATTTAGGTAATCAACCGGGGAAGTTTCAATAAGATGTCTATTCAAGGCTGCAGCCATGGAGTCAACATTGGGGAGGACCAATTTCACAACACATATCTTTTAAGATGTGTTTTTTCTCCTTCTCTCAGTCGGAAATCTCTCCTGTTTATACATCATTCATAGCCTGATTTATTAAACATTTTACTCCTAAAAACATGGCAAAAATGTTTTTTAAATGGCTGTTCACGCTGTTTTCTGAATTATGGAGTGATAACAAGATATATTCAAATTCCCTCTGTAGAAACCTTTGACTCGAACATGTCAACAAAATGAAACAACAATTTTGAGCCTGGCTTTATCCAGTGTTCAGATTTCTGCTCTGACACGTTTAGTGTCTTCCCTTCAGGTTCCAAAGTACTGTACAGGTTTGAGATACTGTGGGACTGAAATTAGCACTTGAAGGGGATAAAAGCAGAACAAAATGTTCAAAATGTTGGACCTGATTAGCTCTGATCACGTGGGTTGTCACACCCTGTAATCAGAGCTGATACCGAGTGCACTCAGATCCTTTCAGATCCACTCAGGTATTAAATGTATTGACATTAGAACTTCAGGCTTGTGGCAGTAAAACTAGACACTACCCGACCACATCAGTGTAATCTGGATCCAGGCTGGTACAAGCTCTTGCTAGCAGAATGTTTCACATGAATCCAGAGATTCAAGGCCCACACATGAAGGAAAAACATCCTCAGAGTGTCGCTTGGTTAGCATCTTACCTGCGTGACCTTGTCGGTGACATTGTGCGTCCGGTCTTTGACCTTTGGGGCGATGATGGTTTTCTCAGAGGATGGAGGGGAGGGGCACTTCTTCTCATTGTTGGCCTCAGAGAAGTTGAGCGTGATGAGGGGAATCTTGTTGATGGTGCTGTACTTGTTGAGGTTGGAGTCAGACGTGGAGCCGAGCAGGCTGGATTTGATCTGACTGAGTGGGCCTGGTGGAAAAGCGACAGGGGGAGGACGTCGTCATTAAAAGTTGCCACATCTTGTAACGTCGTTGGGCTATTGTTGATCTAGACGTTCTGAATTGTGGACATCAGTCTAGTGATCATTTGTGATTGTTGTGACATGGGTAGTGAGCATGGGGTGGCCGTTACTTTTGGAGTGAGTTCAAACACAACACAACACGGAGAATACAACAGATACTGAAATATAAACTCTACACCCTCTGACTGACTCGTCTAGGGTGAACAGGCCTTTCAGAGTTTCTCATGAAAAGATAATGAAGAACACTGTTGGCGAAAGAAAAGAATGATTTAATGCACAATCAAGGAATGCAACTCCACACAGTTAGTCCAACCATCTATCGGTCTGATGAGGTGTGTGGAATTAACAAAATGCTCCCACGTCAATGGTCTCTACACGTTCACGGCGTATTAAAAACTGACTTTGAGACATCAACTCCCTGCCTTCTTGTGAAAGCATTCAACAATATGTGACAGCACTACACACAGTGACATGAGGCCCGATGAAAGTGATAAAAAGTGAAAACTGATTCAGCCCTGTGAGCCAGCAGGGGAAGGTTACACCCCCCCCCCCCCCCCCCCCTTTTCACAAAGTATAGTACAGTGATTAAGTGTCAAGGACAGAGAAACAGACAGCTGAGGATGAGAGATTGCATGCACAGCTTCAATGCATGCCACAGTAAGGATACGTCATTGCAGTCATGAAAAATAACTTCAAAAGGAAAAGCCAAAGCCATACCCCCAGCCATCCAGGAGCGAGACACTAGCAAACCAGGAGAGAGAAGAAATAGGGGGTAAAGGGGAGAGTGGGAATGTGGAGGGGTGGTTGGATTGCAGGGTCAGTAGTCATGGATACAAGTTCATCAATCATATTATAGCATTCATTAAGGAAACTAAAAAGGAAGGAAGGATCGTTATGTCAGTGACAGCTTTTGAATTTCACACTGGTGCCAGACTTTGGTGCCACTTCTACTGAAGTCAGTTCTTCAACAAAATAAAACACACACATTCCGTGATGTTTACTGATGCTTTCTATCTAAATGTGCGTGTTCGTTTTCATTGTTCCTGGTCTCCAAACAGATCATCGCTCTGTCCAGCAGCTGCATATAACGCAACATAAAGCCCCTGTACTGGGCAGGGCTGACATATATTATCAATTATAAAAAATATTTATTGTGTTGGATTTAGGGGGATATGTTGGCAGAAATGGAATATCATACAATAAGTATGTTTTCTTTAGTGTACGATAACCTGAAAATAAAAGTGATCGCGTTTTTGGTACCTTAGAATGAGCTGCTTGTATCGTGGGAGCGTGTCCTCATCGTCGGAGTCCGCCAAGTTCCACTGCCATGTTTTTACAGTAGCCCAGAATGGACAAATCAGATACTGGATCTAGAGAGGGCCATTCGTTTTGTTGCTTTGGCCACCGTAGTTAGCAACCTCTCAGTGTTTTTACTGGTTTAACTCACTAAGTCTGTTTGTTGAGGCAAGGAGGAGACCTCTGTGGATAATCTGGCTCCTGGTTAAAATCTTGTGAATGTTTGATAGGGTTGGGTATCGTTTGGGGTTTTTCTGATACCGGTGCTGAACCGATACTTTTAAAATCGATACCTCAAAATATGGTGGTTGAAAAGTGGCACAAATGGGCCACCTTTCAGAAGTGTGTGAGTATTTTGTATAACAGTTTAAAATTATAATAAAAACAATGTTTTCATTTATTTATTGCTGAGGCAAATTAGAAATACCTAGAAATAAATAGGTATATGAACTCTATTAACAGTTTTAAAATATAATAAAAAACACTTAACAAATTAACATTACAATAATATTAACTCTATGAAAGTCCGGTCTCTGTAGGCAGCCCAGGCTCTGCAAATGGCAAAAAAACCAAAACATTTGGGTCCAGGCTGTACCAATCAGCCAGCGCGAGACCAGCGAAAGCAAGCACACACACACGGTGCCCAGAGAGGCAGTTACAGCCACAGGCTACATTGAGGCTAAAAACAGAGTGCAAATGACGTTTTTCCAAACAACTTTTTATGTCGGGGCTTCAGGACACTTAGATCACTACGGATGAGCAATATGGAGATATTCTGTGGTTTCAATTACGTGTTTTTGGACGTTTGAATCTGGGGCGCCATAAGCCTCCATTAGGTGGAGTTGTGTTGCTACCCTCTCTCCCCTTGGATCTCTGCAAGTGTTGTGAGGACTCTAAAACTTGACCTGATCCTCCATTGGCATGAGGGTGAGTAGATAATGGGTGAATTTTCATGTTGGGTGCACTATCCCTTGAACAGGTGTGTAAATCCAGGGTAACTAGCAGCTATCGCTTGTTCATGTGACAGAGTCATGGAGGAGGAGGGGGGGAGGGGGGAGCTAGCTCCGTTATGTTTGATAACATTGTTGAACGTAAACAGAAGTGACGCCCAACGGTGCTTAGCGTGCCTTTAAATAATAATATACGCTCAACAAAACGAACGAATGAATGAATGGTTCTGTAACGTGTAACGTCCAATAGAGGGAGATAAAGCATTTAAAAAAAAAAAAAAAGAGCACCGAAAGGAGGCACCGTAATGTGCGTTTTGTTTCGGTCTGGTAGGTATCAGTTGTATAGGTACGGGTCCATATAAGCACCGACTTTTGGTACCCAACCCTAATGTTTGGATAAGAAAAAAAAGGAGAAATAAGCTGAACGCAAGTTAGCAGATGCTGGGCAAGCGGCCCTTCTGTGAAACACTGATCGGTATTGTGACACTGCTCTATTCATTGTTTTACCGGTTTAAATTCCCTGTTTTGGAGAGGAAGAGACCTTTGCAGATAATTCAGCTCCCAATAAAAAACTTTCTGAACAATGAACGCTGACAGAATTCTAAAAATCTGCAATCCTCACTACTAGATGCCCCATAAATCCACCCTGAATTTTACAGACTGCTCCTTTAATGGCTGTATTGAGAGTTGAACTAATGTTATATACAGCCCCTGGACAAGCCATATCTGTTTAGAGACCAATAGCAATGAAAACAAACGTGCACATTTAGATAAAAACATCAGTAAACTCGACTTGTGATGTCCATCCCATTAACTTAGAAAGAGCATCAATGTCTGGCATCGATGCAAAATTCAAATGCTGTCACTGACATGATGACCCTTATTCTTTGTTAGTGTCCTTGGCATTTATCAGGAAATAGAGCACTTTGGCAGCTCTGTGTGTAGATTTACATACTGTGATGCTCATCTTACAAAGCATTTTGGGAACAATTCATTTGATCCTAAATACAATTAAACATAAATGCATTAAGTTATAATCTATGTGATAATGCTGTGAAATGCATGCAGAATCGGCACTGCTACAAGTCCTTTGCAATTTAAATTACTATGGGAAAAGGATGAGTGTGAGCATATCGAATTTCAGTGGAAACACAGTCAGGTTTCTGTTCATTCACTAAGACATGGCAACAAGGAACCCGAGGTTTCACAGAAGAAAACAGAGGCTACAGACTGTGGGAGGGATCATCTCATAAAGCTTCATTGATTTCTTTTCAATGAACAAAAGCAGGAGAGAGATGTATTGCTTCATGCAAGCGCGTGCAGAGGTCAGTGTGTTGTTTTAACTGAGCCTTCCCCTGGGCAACTGGCTTGAGATCAGCAGGTCATGTGCACTGAGACCAAGTCATTTAGTGCTGTGCCAGTGTTTTAAGGCTCCGGCCCAAGACCTTACAAACACAGGCGTTGCACTCAACATAAACCTCGGTCATGTGGGGAATCTCATGCAACAAGCAGGCTTTGTGCAGCTTATGTTATCCAGTAGACATGCTAAACTTTGACAGCTCAAGATGCAGCAGGTTGCTGTTTGTTACCTTTAATATTGCGACCATTGTCTGTGATGGCAGCAACACAGCATCGGAGAAGAAAGAAGAAGTGTAGTGAGGGGAGGTGAGAGAGGAATTTCTGGTGCTTCCATGATGACAAATGGGGACTGGCATCAACCCCCCGCTACTGTCCCCATGAACAATTCATTACTATGAAGTAGACATATTACTGTGTCAGCCACTGGGAGCTATTTGAATGAGGATTGTAGATAAGGCTATGGGGGTAGACTGATTGGCCTGAAGGAAACGGCCAGTCTGGGGCACTTTTACCCTCATCCAAATGAGGGCCAAAAGGCTAATGAGTGATTCAGACTCAAGGGAAGATCAATAGCACACAGTGTAGATGGTGACTCAGTATAATACTGATTAAGAGGCTGGCATGCCACATCTCGAGTCTCCTATTTTGGGACCACAGGGAGTTTGGTCATTAATACAACCAAATTATACTTAGTGTTTGTCACAAGTAATAAAATCCTTCAAAAGTCCCTTATTGTCAAATACAACAATTGGGGTACTGTGATCACAACTCACTTTTTGTTATCACTGGGCAATTAGTGTTTTTGTTAGAGCATTGCTCATAAACCATGCACATAAAGGACAAATACTGTACTTCATAAAACTTCTTTTTTAAGATCCCCTCGGTCCCTCTCACTTAAAAAAAAAGTTTAACTACTATACTGAAAAGTCTTTTCACAGTGAATGTGCACTGGAGGTTTCAGGTTTCCATATCAAACTTGTAAGCTGAGCACTGGACCACAATTGACTTTCAAATTAGTTATGTTATGTCACACAGTCCTTTCGTATATCCATGTGTTATGTAAAGATTTGAGGTGAGCATAGATAAACTTTCCTCCGTCAGTGGGTTAATGTAGAAACAATCTTTTAGTGTCAAACTCTGCAAAACGTCCGAGTGACATAACACAACTTGAACTATAAAGTGGGACACGCCGCAGATAAAACTGCAGTATTTGTTTGAAACTCAAATTATCTGGTGTTTCCTAAGTTTTCCTGGAAGTGAGAACTAGAGGGGGTAAAGGGGATATTAAGTCATTGATAGGGGACCAAATGAAACTCATTACCTTGAACAAATGACAGATTTCTCTGGGTTTGAACAGTGTTGGAAACATTTGGGATAATGCAAGTACACAGCTCAACACATATATAACATAGATCTAGTCGCTTTTAGACATTTTAATGAGGAAATGTTACAGGTTATACCTTTAAGGGCATAGTACAGCAGTAAATTCCTACCTTCACTTGCGTGTCTGTCCCTGAACGCCATCTTGGAGTTGGACCCAAAGCCTTCCATGTCATGTACAGAGGAGGCTCTGCGAATACTGCACACACTCTCTCTGGAGGCGGTTGGAGTGAGGCCCGGGATTGACGGAGCCGCAATGAGCGTGTCCTCATTGCTCTGGTGCTGGGTCTGGGTGATGGACTGGTCTGGGTATGTCCGATCCCAGGGGCCCTTGGGCGACGAGTGGTCCAAAGGCCCGGACACAGGGGTGGAACAGTGGCTGGGGCCGATGAGGGCGCGGGTGTCATTGGCGTAAGAGGGACTGCAGCTCTCACGGGTGGTGGGAAGTTGGTAGTCGCGTGTAGCCACCGAGCCATCGCTGTGGCGAGGTGAGTCCACCAAGATGGCATCGGGGTCTTCCTGGGGCAGGGACTGCTTGCTGATGCCCAGAAGAGGTAAGGCCGGGAATCGGAAACGAAATAGTCTCCCTTTCCCTGACGAAGACAAAGACAGAGAAATGAGAATGAGATTACTGTCATCTTATTTCACACTAACACTTTTGGAAGACCAGTTTCACTGTATATGGAGTGCCTCATGCCACCATACACTAGGAGACTTTGGAAAGACCTTCTCACATCTGAAGATAATGTGAGGTTTGAGTCACACACTCTAAGATTTCGCAAAGACTCAGGATCATGCACGGTCACAACAGCTGGATTCCTTTTGAGATTATTTCCCATCCTGTTTCTTTAAAATATTACGCCAAACTCCCTTTAAGAAATATGACATATTACCAATTTGTTACGTGTCTGCAAAACACATAACTCTGGCTACTTTAGCTAGAAAGCCTCCCCTGAGTCCCCTCCTTGTTTGATGTCCACTGGTTTGCTACTTCCTGTTTGGTGCTGGAGAGAGTGTAGCATGAGCCAAGACTAAAAACTTTCATCAAGACGGGAAAAACACTGACTTAAAACAGGGCAGACTGAGTTTTATGACCACCTTACACCAACTCTTGGGTCACAAGAGTGTGAACCAACTGGGGTTAAACTTGTGATTTTATTCCAGCATTGGGAATTTGCATGTGACAGCGACATCACTTGAAAAGGTGTTTGGTGTAAAGCCGGCATAAGGGCAACTGGTAAACACATCAACATAAATACTAAGACAGTGGATAGCTGTGTCATTCAGTTATTGTGAAGAAGCTATTTGACTGCTTTGAGACCAGAAACAGTGTGTATGGTCGTTTTTAATGAGACAGTGGGATTGACATAACCCCCGCCGACCTTGTGTTGTGTTTTCATGGTGTGTTTGTAGCAGAACTTGCTTGCAGTCTACAATTTCCCTGCTGATATCTTGTACTTGTTTGCCAGTAGCACGGTGAAGCCTGCCAATGCAGCTATCTTAAAAAGACCCTGGCAGATCAAAACAAACGCCCGTTCTGCCTCAGGCACTAGTTCAATCTTCAATTTCCTTCAATTATTCATGGAGGAGGACATTTGGTGAAATATTATAATGGCAGTAGTGCGTTGAGTCAGTCCTGTAAAGGATAATGTGCAGGGATTTAATGAGTGATTGATAGCTCCTGGGGAGATGATAGGGAATGTAACACAAAGTGTTGACAGGAGGTAGTTCAGAGGAAATTTTATGCAAGAAAAAGTAAAGAAACACAAGAACAGAGTTAAGTTTAGTGTGAAGTTAAAATTAAGACTATGCTATATACACACAGCACACATCCTCACACACCATTCATAAATAGTCACGTGTACTTGCATCTAACAATATCGGCAAACATGCCATGAGAGAGACTGCACAGGATTTCACATATGGACCGCAAACTGCGGCCTGCATGTTGTGAATCATTTAGACGGCTGAACATATGCCATACATATCAGAGTGCTGTCTCACTTCTCGAAAACAAGTCCCACTGCCTAAGTCCCTTCATAAAATCATTACAATATAAACAGGCTGCACACACTTGAATTCATGAAACAACCACACCATTATGTCCCCTTTGTGTATTTGCTTGAACAAATGCAATGCTCTGCTACAACATCTGCAAAAGTGGAGCAGCTGAGGACACATTCAGAGACACAATAGGTGGTAAAATAAAACATAAAGTGAATGTTTGAAGCTCAGGAGGGAGCAGCATGCATCTTTATCTTTGTCATTACTCCTTGTATTGGGGTGAGACTGAGAGGGAGGAGAGAGAAGGAAAGTAATTTTAGACACAATGCTCCGAGTCTTGTTGGGTCAGAGTAGTGTGTTTAAATTAAATCTCTATCCAGATGCTGATGATGCCAGAAATGATCATTAGCCTTTAACTGGTGATTCAGGGCTGAATCTGAAGTTAGTGCTCAAATCCACAGCACAGTGTGACTAAACACGTGGTTCATCTTAATGAAGATGAGATGCAGTTGAATTGGCATTTCGTTTCTGCCAAAGAATTGTGAACAAAGTTCTGTTTCATCTGAGCTCTCTGCTTTGAGGCAGATAAGACTGCTGATCAAAAATACCATCTGATTCATCAGTCTGAAGCCGATCCCAAACCAGCAAACCCAATTTATATTCTAAAGAGTCTGTGCGTAGCATGGCCCTGTTTAGTGGGGCTGACTCAAACACTTTTCCCTCCAAAGGAAAACTGTTTTGCAATCACACAACCGCAATACTACAAAATTGACATTTTTTCCAATTAATCAAGCAGCTCGAGCATTTCACATTTCCGACAGTACGATTTAAACACATGCCTCAACTCTTAAAATGACACCTCAGAAAAATAATGAATGGTAGCTCATGAAGACTCACACACTCAGAGCTGTGTTTCTAATTACTGCGCCTAGAGGATAAACATATACCCCACAAATCTTTTAATTAGCTCATAATTCAGTCATGCATTCATGCTGCATGCTGACAACATTGTGTGTAGCTATATTTAATTGTGATATTGAAAGGGCTGAACCTTGCAGGAATATGCTGCCCTTTGAGTGCTGTTACCGCATTGTGTGTGTGCTCACTCTCACTCCCTCTCCAAGCCTCTCATTCTTTCCCTGCAAAAACTCACCAGCGGCTTTACACAACCAATGGACGCTCAGTGGTCCTTGTTGCTATGATACGGGATAGTAATATTTGCATTGAATATTAATTGGGCCCTCAGATCCCCATGTTGGGGAGTGAAATGTCTTTCTGTAATGTGAGCATGATTCAGATGTCAGGGAAAAGTAGAAAGAGAACAATAAACCTTCATCCTTTGGTAAAAGTGGCACAAAGACGGCTTTGTATCCTTTTGTTTCTGTCTCTTGTTCTTGTGATTCTGCTGACGTTAAATGAATAAAAAGCAACAGTGCAGTAAAGGCGCTTACTTACTGATTTGCATGAAGGGTTGTTTTACCTTAAGGAGTGTTTACCTGGGCTCCCAGACCTCCTATTACTCATCAGCTCTGGAGAATAACATGGGTAATTCTGCTGTGTCCCCACTTTGCCCCACACTCATTTACACAGAGAGAAAATTAAAGTATGATTGCAGTGAGCCTGGGTTAGTAGCAGTTTTTATTTATTATGGTATTTTTCTTAATTAGACAACTGCCAGCAGAGCGTGACAGTAAACATGAGGAAAATGGAGGCAGCATCGTATGCACCTTCTTCACACGTAGAAATAAAACACACCTGACTGGCAACATTTTAGCCACAGATGGTCTTCTTCAGGTGGTTGAAACATTGTCACCAAACGTTAAATCTATTTTCTCAGAAGGAAATCGTATCTTGGAAATGATTCCCCATTGCCCGCAGTATGGAGCAGAGAGAACAAGACTCACAGCTGCTGGTGTGTCTTTTAGGCAGCCAACCTGTCCTGAGGGATGCACTCGGCTCTGTGGAGCTGGTGCAAACACCTACACCTACAATGTATGTGAAGTTCCAGTTTAGGGGTTGCTAAGTTTTGTAACAGGAATGAGCTTTAAGAGGGCAGGAAGCTGATGCAAAAATGGCTACTATGATGAGCTGGCAAACAGCCCAGGCTTTTATTTGATTCAGTCACTGAACTCAACTGGCGTATATTTGGGACAGGCGTCGACATGGGACTGCCCTTTAATTCCTTTGGCACAAAATCACATTGTTAATCTAAACCTGTAGGAATATTACTTATATAAAAATTAGGCTATTAAATAACATTTCAATTACAGATCATTTATTTGATCCAGCTCCAACAGACAGGCTGTTGTGATGAAAGAATTTCCCTCGCAGTGATTTAGGGTGGCTCAACTGTGCAATATATGGTATTACTGCCATTTTTTCAAATTAATTTGTGAATAAGAGGCACAATAAGGGGCACAGCATTTTTTCAGCTGAGACGTTTTGGTTGCATCTGGTTGCTACGATACAGACTATCTGCTGAGGGTGAAATGTGGGCACAGGGTAGAGTACTTGCTCTGGATGAAGGGAAGGTTGAAGTACACCGAGAGACAGGACAGACCCGTCACTCTATGTGAGTTCAGTACTAATTTCTCCTCCACTACTGTCACTCAGAGATGTGACAGTGGGTCTTTGTGGTAGGGTATCTGTCCCACCCCTTCTCCACTGTGATTGGATGGCTGGGTAATAAGTGACAGTGATGAGCGGCTGCAGCATTTTACCCAAAGTGGAATATTTTTCTACTTTTTTTAATTCTTAGGCACATCATGTAAATAATTCTATGTGAAAGAGTCAAAAGGTGTTTGAGAATAACTTCTCGAAAGTTTTTATTAGTGCTGAAAGGACAGATTCGGGACTTAAAGTAATTTCTAACAGCTAACAGTTGGATCCCACAGGAAGCTTGGATTGTAAGCATTGCAAATTTCAATGAAAGATATCGAGCTAAACTGTATGGAGTGTGTTTGGCTGAAAGAGTCTTAGATATTTTATTACACCTACTCAGAAGTCTCATCACTCAGGCTCTTCCAGCTGCCCGAGGCTTCCAAGCCAACCACTACCACTTGTTTTGGGCCTGTCCAAAAGTAAATGCTTTTTGGCATTAGTGACTATATTTGGGACAAAATTTACATTTAAGTGGGATGAACTCCTTTTTTGGCTTAAAACAAAATACTTATTTGGAATACTGAGTGTAGCTGCTAAAAAAGCAATTATAAAGAAATTGCTTAAGCCAGACACCCCATGACTGAAAATTGGTTTGATATCATTTATGAAACATTTGTAATGGAAAAATAACCTGTTTAATGAGGCTTCAGGAAATTAAATTGAAAGAAATGGAAGAATGTATATTTCACTAAACATCCCTCTTTTGTTCAAATTGGTTTATTCAACTATTCAACTACTAATTTTATTATTCATTTCTCTCAAATGAAAACCACCCCATGTACTATGTTTGTGTTTTATTACTACATTGAATAAACCTTAAAAAAAACAGTCTCACTCTGTAAAACTACCTAACTAAAAATGACTGTGTGAATCTCGTTATTAAGTGAAACCAAATAAAGGAAAAATAAATAAATCCCACCGCTTTTCCCTTTAAACTGGCAATCTAGAGCTGTAGTCAATAACAATGCCATTTCTTTTGTGTATGTTTGTCTGTGGAAGTGGCTCTGCCGGGAGAATCCAAGATGGTGGCAGAATGGATGGATCGTCCCTGAGCGGTTAAGGCAATCGATGAGCAGCACCGATTGGCTGCTCATCCCCCAGAGGGAGTTGAGATAATGCAACACATGGATCATCCCCTCACACAGTCTAAAGGCAGCTGCTCCTACACACACTATAGAGCTGCTCCTGCACCATGGGTTTCATTGAGTTAAATTTACATCTGTAGCAGTTTGTTCATCTGTGATGTTCACTTAAATTATGCAGAGTTATTCATGATCTGTGACCTCTGTCCATCTGCCAGTTCGAAAATGCACTACTAGGTCTCTGGAGTTAACTGAGTAAAGGCTGTGATGAAATGAGGCTGAGAAATACCAACTCTCTCCGGTAATCCGTGCGACGGCAGAGGTTGCGTGTAGGCAGAGAAAGAGAGAGATGGTGTCCAGCACTGAGACTCAACCTTGTAAACAAATCTGGACCTCACCACCACATTTGCAGGGATTCCCACTTAGATATTCAGATAGGCATGAATAGACTGTAACTCATAGAGTCCTGCTCCATCAGGGACTGCCCTTGTGCTCAGGCAGAGCAATTAGCTCCCATAGAAAAGTGAAAGAGGAAGGCCTTATCAGTGACACTGACACTCTTGCACACACACTCACAAATTGAAAAGCTTATACGTTCACGCATGGCTTCACAGGAGTCTGAGTGTACGCACAATCACACAGTGCACACAAACACACACACGGACAACACTTGCTTATATACTCAACACACGCATTCCCACTCTTTCCACCACACACCCCATGAGGCATGCAGCCTGTTAGGGCCTCATCCAATTACAGTCATCTAGAGGTGACCTCTGGTCCTCCATGCTGCTGCCTTATATGTCGCAGACAGAAGTGGAGAAAGAGAGAGACACAGAAGAGAAAGGAGGCATCAAGAACATGCTGGAGAACACCGCGGGGGAATTGCATTATACACTATTATACCGACAGCTCTGGGAAGAGTGCTCTCCAGCACTGCTCCAGTAGTTCATCAGGCCATCCTGGCAGGCTATGAGCTATAATTGGGCCAGACCTTTGAGATGATGGCAGGCTAACACATCAGTGTCTGCTAAACGCTGGTGTCAACATGCCAACGGAGCTGTCTAGCAGGGAATTCCTGCGGTGCACAGCTGCAAGTAGAGATGAAAGCACAAGGTGGAGGGCGCTACAGGATGTGTCTGGTTTTAAGAGTTATGCTACAGAGGCAAGACACTAAACAAATGTATCTGTTATAGCATCGAGCAGGGAGAGCAACAATAGTAATAGGGCCATGTCAACGAGAGGCACAACTTGATGTGGGAAAAGGTCACACGTAAAAGGTCATGAGTGGCTGTGACATTACTATCACTCCCTTTCTTCTTCCTTGCTCTTCCAATCTTATCATGGGCCAACTTCTCTCTGGGACTCGGGTTCACGCACCACACGTGAGAAAAGAAGTGCTTTTAAGGGAGAACAACGCCTATTTTCAAAGTTCATACATGTTATTCCTATGGTCTAAGACAGTCCAGCATGACTACTATGGAGCACGCTAGCAAGAAGCAGCCAAGAGTGTGGACGTAATAACTGTGCGTGGAGCCCTTTGACCTTCTAGCGTAAGTGACATGGGTAGTAACGATATCTCATCACAAGTGGTCAGCTTGTGGGCGCATGATAGTCATAGGTGTGAACAGCAATGTGTCTTGGTTGTTCACTCTGTACAGATCACCAAAATGCATGTTGATACCAGGTGTAAACAGGTTCACAGATGACACTGAGAGCACCCAGGAGATTGTTCTGTGTATATGGGTACATTTTCTATTTCAAAACTGAGGGCACCACAATAGAATAAAGCTCACTGAAAATAGAAAAGCACGAGTCCACAAAATCAGGCTCCCATTCATTGTCTAGGGAGCAGCTCCAGACTTCATACATGATGACATCACAAGTTTAAGACTTACTTCTGTGGTTTCTGGCTTTGAGTAGCTCATACTCACAAAAATTATAAATAACTTTCCTAAGCCATGGAAATAACATATTGGATGTCTTAATTTAGGTGGCGGTTCCACATCGAATGCCAAGTATCATGTTGACCCTCCAGTCCTTTTCTGCCTGTACTCACGTTGGTCAGCTTTGGATGGTGAGGTGTGGTTGAGTCTGTTCAGTGAATCGCTGCTCCCTTCATCCAGGATGTAATCGAAGTTCAGGATGAACATCATGACCACGCCCTCCTCATTCTTCACAGGGATGATATGGGTGGCGCACAGGAAGTTTGAACCTAACCAACAGATAATTAAAGTTAGACATGGGTAATAAACTTTTGTTTTGTGTTCACTTATAGAACCTCAAAATTCTGTGCCCCATTAATCTAAAAGAAAAACCTGCCTCATTTAAAATTCACAACTTAATATGTTTCTGTGCAAAACAAACAAAAAATGATCAAAGACTCAAAGTACCAGAACAGCTTTTCAGATATAGTACAGTTTGACCCTGAAGCTTTCTATTAACACTCTTTGACATTCAAACATCTTATTTCAGATAACGCTCTGTGCGCAGAAAGGCCTGGCAGCGAGATGAGGGTGAAAAGGTCAAGAGGTCCGCTGAGAGGAAAGCCTCTGGAGCTGAATGATTTCATATATCCAGACATGCCCCGAGTCTGTCCTGCTGCTGGGTACAGTACTGCACAGTTCAGTACAGTCAAACACAGAGAAACATCCATTCACCTCAAGTTAACATTAAAGGAGCTCCATGCAAAATTTAGAGCTTAAGAGCGTCTGCACACAGTTGATGTGTCCAACATGGAGGGGGCTGGGCCTGCGATGGGACTAAGTCACTGCTTGGCAAGTCACAAGTAAATTTCAAGTCTTTGCAGTCAAGACCCAAATCAAGACCGGGAAGTCCCAAGTCCTACATTTTGAGCTTCAAGTCCTAAACAAGTCATAATGCACTCCTCACCAAACCTTTTAATCTCTGGGCTTGGAGGAAGGTATCAAGTATTTTCAAGTCAAAATGCTCAAGTGCAAGTGAAGTCATGAGTCATTGGTGTTAAAGTCCAAGTGGAGTTGCAAGTCTTTTTGACTCTGTCAAGTCGAGTCTTAAGTCATCTGTGACTTAAGTCTTGCCACATCTCTGCTAGCAGCCAATGGTGCTAACTACAGCTGCCCCTTGAAAGTCAGAGATTTGACTCATCAGTCGGAGACCCTCAGTTGACCCTCAGATTTGCTTCAAGTCGAGCAGTCTGGGTGTGCTGTGCAGTATACTTAAATGTCCCCAGATTATGCTGCAGAGTGAACGCTCTTGACTTTCACACTCCTCTTTGGTACGGATAGCTGGAGACGTGACAGCGGCACAGAGGAGTTGAAACTCTCCACTGAAAGGCCCAAAGATAACATTATCTCCTCTCTTTTGCCTGGAAGTGACAGATACTTAATACAACACAGTCTCTGACTTTTGTTTGATATCTAGTGTCAATAAAAAATGTTGTTGCACATTTACAATCCGCCATTATTGCCCTTAGCTTGTTTACTACATTACTTGATGCTGCTGTCACACTGAGCATCCCACTGAGCCCTGTTCAAACTTTCAAACTTTATATGAACAAAAAACAATTGTTGGGTACAGCCCTAGTGCTAACAACATGAAAAGTGCTAACAACGGCAACAGTGATGACATAGCTAATGGTGTTAACCAGGTGGAACCAGAGGGTGGGCACTATGCTTCCATGCCACTGCCGCCCTGATACCAGCTGTAACCGCCGTATGGGCACAGTGCAAAGCAGCGGTGACAAACTGCAGAGGAGCTTGGATTACAACCCACACGGAGGTAGCGTGACTTCATTCTCTGCTCAGGACACCATTATTCCACTCTATCTTTACATAGCAAATAGTGGTTTGCTGCTCTGAATATTGCATGCAGAACTTGTAATGCCTTATCCAATTACTTCCATACTGGATGACGTCCAAAGTCATCACTATGTAACATGAATAACAATGCCCACACACAATGTATGTTTGATATGTATTTCCCCAAAATACAGCAGCCAGAAAAGTTTCTCCCTTCCTATCACTCTCTTTATGTTCTCAGTCTCATGGAAAAAATGAATTGCTCTCAGTTAAACCCCAATTACTGTATTAGAGTTGCCGATGGCTCCGCAATGGGAGGTAAATTTAATGCGGCCCTGCTCGCTGCTAATGCCTCGTGTCTAAATGTTCCTAATTTATCAAACAGCAGACAAGAGGTTAACAGAGATGAAACAGAGATGGTGCGCTCTTCGTACCAGCTGTCTTTTCCTTGGCTTCCAATTTAATATTACCATTCAGAAAAAAAGATAAAGAGACAAAGATATTTTAGGTTTGCCAGACTTTAATAAAAAGTCTAAACAGTGCTATCTCTGGTTGCCAGCACTGGCTAGATGAAATGTACAGAAGCTGTGACCAGGAGTACTGGTGTAGAAAATGAAATGTATATTAAGTTTTAAATAATGAACATGGACATCTCTGGAAGATGCTCTCCCGCACATTAGGCTCTAAGTCCTGCTGTCACCAGGAGGCTATTTATAGCTCACCCAGCAGGCACCCTGCCTACAGCATTTCTTTTCTGGGGGAACACAGACACACAGACACACACTGCTGCACAAGCACATTCAACTGCAATTCAGACTCTTGCAAATGTATGCGCGCTTGCAAGTATGCATGCCACTGCGCGCACACACACAGACCTACGCAGAGAAAATAATTACAGAAAACCAGTCTTCGGTCATTTTCTCGTATTGTTTTGTCAGCGTTCAAAATCGCATTGTGCAGCTATATTACAAACCAACTGCTCTACTACACTGGGGTTTGATTTATGGATTGTGGAGCCCTAATTCTGCAAGTATAAGCAGTAACCTGCCCCTAATAGTACATCAGTGTCACAGAGAGTAGATGGAGCCATTCATTTCATTTATTTATTTATTTATTTACAGGGTTACAACAGCTGAAGGCAAGTTTGATTTAATACTTTTAAAGCCTTTTTCTAATGCCGGTCAAAATGACATTTAAGACCAATTTTACAACAAACAAACATGGACCAACATAAATTACTCAGAGTTGGGACAATTTTGCCCAAATATTTATTGTATCGTAAAAGATGGCTTTTTTAGGTGAAAAAATATTCATAAAATTCTACTTTGCATTTCTTAGCATTTTAAGACTTCCATTTAAAACATGTCAATACCAATTAAGGCCTTCTTTTTAGATTCATGAATTCCAAGCCTATTAAGACTTTTTAGGGAGGCCTGTTTTACAGTTTTTTCTACCTTTAGTGACAATTTGCAAAAGAAGTCCTTCTCCAAGTGGAGGTGTCTCTCTGCTTTAAATGGTTTAAGGTATATTCTGCATACTGTAGCTAAAGGGAATACATATTGTAACAAAAACAGGGCCTTGAGTGTCAGTACAAGTTAGTAGATTTAAGAAAAAAGGCTTCCAGGTTTTTTGGGATACAATTCAGATGATCTTGTGTACTAATCTAATTTTGACAAATGACATGATTTACCCCTTACTAGCAATTCTGAATTATTGCTATTCACTACAACAGACCTTGTAAGTAATAAAAAAAAAGTCATTAACTTTTATGTCAGCACCTCATCTGCAGGCAATTTGTTGATACGAAAGAACAAAAGTGTCTGTTTTATCTCCTTAACCACAACGAGCAGAAACGACAATAACAAGTGTCCCATTATCTGAAATCCTGACAATTCACTTTGTTTGAAAATTAAAATTAAAATGATCAAGTCCGTCTCCATGGAAACAAGTGAGCACTCTGGAGAAAAGCAAACTCCCTATGCCAAGTTGGATATTAGTTTAATTTGTCTCCAGCATAGAGCGGCTTCAAGATGTTTCTCAAATGAAATGAAATCTTCATTGTGCTGAAGACATCTGCCAGTTTGTGGAGAACTCTAACAAAGCAAGAGAAATTTCCCTTTCAAACTCACACTACTCACACTTCCTGTTTGTAAAGATTAATAATTAATACAACAAGTAAAGATGGAGCTTCTCTACAGTGTATGCACCATCATACATCAGCATCAGGGGCCATTTTCCGGTACAGTATCGAGAGAAGCTTCAGCCAAAGAGGATAAATTCATAATGATTGAATGTCTCCCTATGGACGAATTTAATGGCTGAGTGTGTGTGTGTGTGTATGTGTCGGACCAAACTCACTAATGCGAAATAAATTCCTCCAAAGTAGAGAACTTGCACACACACAGACACACATGCATGCACATCATTAAGAAAAACGTGCTTCACATACGTCCAGCACAAGCACATAAACTCATAACACATGCACACTACAGAGAGAGTGCTTTGTGTAACCTCCACATGCCTCAGGAGGGGACATAACCCCAGCTTTGTAAAGCAATCTGTGTATGTTAGTGTGTGTGTGTGAGTGTGTTTGCGCATGGGGGCATGCTCTAAAAATAAGCCGCTTGGAAACCATGGGCATTTATAATTCATAGGAGTTAAGTATTATGTTCTAGAAAGCATAATGGTTGGAGTTGTTTAGGCAATATAAGAATGAGGAGAGGCTCGATGGTTGTGTGCGCGTGCACGTGTGTGTGAAGCAGATGACGAGCGAGGGACAAGGATAGGGAGATACATATGAGAAAAGTAAAATCAACTAATCAGGTTGTGTAGAGAAAGTGTGTGTATAGATTTCTCAGATATTATATCTAACCTATTAATGTTAAAGACTATTTCTTGGTTCATCATCAGGTTAATCAATGTTCTTCTAAGCATGTGCCGCCTTTTAATGTCACACTGTTTCGGAACAATCTGAATTTGACAGAGAAAATGCATCTCAACAATACATAACAGAGAGGTGCTGTGTTTGCTTACATCATGCGTAGGTGTGTATAAAGAGGGGCATATGGTATATGTATGTCGGGTCCAAGTCCAAGTGGAAGTGTGTGTGTGCATGAGTGTGTCTTTTGACTTGCATGTTGCGTTTATTTGTGATATAATACTGCATTCATAAGTAAAAATGATCTCCTTATCTGTATGAGCCAGAGTGGACTGGATTCATTTTGCCATTTCTCTCAGACATACAGACATGTGTCATGAGAAACAACAGCTGAAGCCAATTTTGAAGTACAATAAATTTGTTAATACTGATACCAATGTTTAAAACAAAATTTTAGCCATTAGCCAATACTGATACTGATGTTTGTATACTGTTGTTAATTTTGTTTTTGTTAGTTTACTCCCCATACTTGGGAAACAAAGAAATCTACACAAAGCC